GGTACGCGGCCTCCATGTTCATTCGTACTTCATGTTCATTAATATTAGTCATAAATAAAAATTAAACAGTATCAAGATCGTTTAATCCAATTTCCCCAGTATTGCACTCAACAAAGTTTATTTTCCCCATTTGCCATGAGATTCTGGTACACATAAAACTAGACCTATTTTTATCGACAAAAAAAAGGTTTTTGAGATTTTTTTATTTTTTATAGATTTTTATTTCTTTCAATTACTTATTGTAAAGAAAACGTAATAACTTTTAACCCTAGGATGGTAACAGGGGTGCCCCAACACCCCACGCGAGCAATCATGCGCTGATTTATTGATAAATATTTGCTGTATCGTTCTACAATTTTGTGCATTCTTTTGTCTTACCGAGAGTCATCACTCATCAGTAGCTGTTGTGTGGTAAGAGCAGCAACATGTCAATTTCTATCTTCAGGCATGTGTGGGGTGTTGCGTTACCTCTGTTACTATTTACGTAGGTATTTTTATTTTGTCGTGAATTATTTTATAAGCTATTTTCATTTAATTATGGCGATTCTTAATTATAAAAAGCTTGAGCGTTAGTTAAATAATATGGCTGAGGATGATGAGAGTGAAACAGAGCCATTAGAGGCGGAGGGGGATTTTATAAATGAAGATAGCGTCTAGGTGCATTTCGAACAAGGTGACATAAGACATTATTTCCGGTTCAGGCGAAGATGATGTGCGTTTGTCACAGCTTCAAGTGAGTGTTTTGAGAGGTAAGAATGGTTGTTTGGACTGCTGCCGTGCCATCATTAACCAGAACGAACACCGCACATGAGACGACATCTGGAGTCAAATTTACCTTGACAACTATCGGCAAATATAAGGGCCATTCTAAATGTCCCCGAAGATGTTACAGCATGTGAACTCCCTGTCAAATTGCAAAAACTTGTGTCTTCGAAAGAATGACTAAAAAGTGAAGATTTTCTGTTCGGATTGCAATAGACCTGCGTGCCCTGAACATTGTGTGAAATTTTGTCTGTAATGTGTTTAAGTTGCCAAAAACATATATTTTTTAAATCTTATTTAATTTAGTTATTGATTTATTTCAAGAAAAGAGTTCTTTTTATTTGTTTCAAGAATAATAAGTTATATTTTTCATAAAACAAACGTTTTTTGTTCATTTTATTATCATTAGGTGACGTGGCACCCCTGTTACTATAGGTGTACCAGAATCTCATGGCAAACAAAAATATTGGAAAAGTGTGTTTTTCATATGGCAATTGTCTATGGTTTAATTGTCACCTGTCAAAGAAAATTATGAAATCTGTCAGCCGCTGCAAAAATTTTGTAATCTCTTCTTGACTATTTGTTATTTTTGTGAAAAAATCGAAAAAGCTCAAGCAAGTCATATTGTTTTCAGTGTGAATTGTAAAATAAGGCATAATTCAAAGTCAATCTTTGATTCTAAAGCGCGTCGTCGAGTTGACAGTAAGTTGGACTGAAATATTTTGATACATTTATTTATTACCCAATTACGTCACAAGGAGGGTTATGTTTTTTTTATATTATTCTTAATAGCTGCTTTATCGGGGTTTTCAGGTATATCTCACAAATTGGTGCAGGGGAATGGTCAAAATGTTATGACCATGTAAAGAAAATTGAAAAAGATTTTATCTCTTTATTTTGATCATCTATTGAAGAACAAGAAATTGCAAGTGGAGTTCTTAGAATCGTTTTCTAGTTCTGAATGAAGTGATAAGTTAAAAGTATGATACATAATAAAATTAGTTACTTAAATTAATAATACGATTTATTTATTTTTCAAGACACTTTCCCGATGTATAACAACATTCTTCATACACATACCTACCTAAAATGTATATTCGTACTTCATGTTCATTAATATTAAAGTCATAAAAGTAAGAAATTGAACAGTATCAAGATCGTTTATTCCAATTTCCCCAGTATTGCTCTCAACAAAGTTTATTTTCCCTATTTGCCATGAGATTCTGGTACACCTATATGCGTGTTCATTTAAATTATATTACCATCGTAGGGTTAAACTAAGAGGTATATCCTGATAAAATAAAAACAGTAATAATGCTAAATAACAGACGATACTAAAAAAATACATAAAATACCCAGAAAATGCCAACAAAATAAAAAATGATACTTTTTGAAAAAAATCTGCTTAAGAATTCGTATTTTTTTGGTTATTTGATAAATTTTTCCAAAAAATGCCCGTATAACAGGTGGTTTTTATTACTTTTTATTATTCTTTATCGTATTACTTTTGTAAAACCAAAAATCGCATGTCTCTATGGGTATTTCGCCAAAAATGGTCAATTTTGCCTAATTTCCTTGGTACGAAATATATTTTTGTTTTTAACTATTTTTAGTTTCCCATTCTATTAAGTAACAAAAACTAAGCTAACATATCTAAAAGGGGTGTCATAATTCGTTTTAGAAACAAAGTTATAAGGTCATGAATTTTTGGTAGCCAAGGAAATTATTATAAATATTTTTTTCTCTAAGTTTTCTTCTGTGGTTTGCTTTTTTTTTTTTGTTCGACCCATTTTTGTGTACCTTCGCAAGCAAACATACCAATGAATATTGTATCATTACGACCTTTTTACACAACTAAGGAAGATAAATTCAGTAGCTTGAGTTAAGAGTTAAAAACAAGTTGTTCTATATCTATTCTGATACCCATTTCTTAAAATGTAAATTTTAAACTTATTCCAATAAATAAATACTCAAAATTTGACTTAACGCCGAATGAAAAATGGTCTTTTATAATTTCCTAGGCCTTTTTATGCCACGGAAAACAAGGAAATTAGGGCCAAAGAAATTAGATTTATGCCTAAAAGACACCACAGACAAAAAGCTATTTACCCTGTGCATTTACTATTAAAATCATGGGTTTACCCCTATAGACACTACATCTGTGTAAATAAACAATAAAATTAACCCATTGTTTAGCTGCAAAAGACCGTCCAAAGAAATTGACTTTTTAGTAAACAAAAACCCAAGGAGGGACCTACTTATGCGATTTGTCGCGAAACTGTTCAGCGAAGTACTGTCCTGCCTCGATGGCCTCTTGGGACGAAATGGCCGAATGTAACGGTGCAGTGCATTACATTCTAAGTTCTTTCGTTTCGTTACTACAATGGTCGAAAAGAAGACCCAGGGAAATTATACTTTTGACTCGGACAAGAACTTAACTTCACTTTATTTCCTTCCTTTAAGTATTTGACATTTAAAGTTTTTATTTTCCGATAGCCAAACGTTTCTCAAATATGAAGAGAGTGCTATTAGAATGAAATTACGCTTCAATTTGTTATAATGTGCCTTCATTTTGGCAAACAACAGTATAAACAAATAAAACAAATAAAACTTTTGATTAACTTTCCCATAAAAATAGTTTTATACATATAAATATAAAAAAACATGTGTTCGCCTGCCTGGACACAGAAAATTTACTGTTTCGGCGAAATACCCCTATCCCTATCACAACATTTGCTATGATCGTTTGAACTAAGCCTCTCCGGGCGCGCATTTAGCATTATAACTGTTTTTATTTTATCAGGATATACCTTTTATTTTTAAAGTTATTACGTTTTCTTTACAATAAGTAATTGAAAGAATAAAAATCTATAAAAAAAAATTTAAAAAAATCTCAAAAATTTTTTGACCTCTTTTTGTCGATATAAATAGGTCTAGTTTTACCTTAATTCATAATGTACACTTTATCGTGACTCTCACTGTATTGCGGCATTGTTTTTTTTTATGGTTCGCGCGGCTTGCGCATTTGTCAATATCAAGTTTTTTTTATTCCCCCATAAAACGAGGAAACGTGAAATTATGAAAACAAGGAACGGAAATCGGAATTTGGAAAAAGGATAGATCAGGAAAGTAAATTGATATAGTTCCAAAATACTGGACTGTCCTGTCGATGACATTGACAATGGGGCGCCACCGTCAATACCGGATCGCTGGTTCAGATTTTTGCCATGTTGGAAACCATATAGTTGAACGATGGTAGCGCCCCCCTGTCATTGAGTTTGGCGGGACAGTTCAGCGTGGGTCATCTATAGGTTAGTTAAATTATGTATAGCCTGACCAGGAACATAAAAACCCTCGCCATGTTGCGGAAAACTAATGGTACTAATTTCTTTTAATGGCAACAGTAACTGAAAACTTCATTGACATGTCACCTTGCATGTCAGTCTATTGCTGTCAAAGTGTAAACAAACTTTATTTTAAATGTGCGCAATTGGTTTTATGAATTAAATTGCTAAAATATTTTTATAGTCGTGAAAGAAAAGTGGTTCACAATGTGTTAAAGTATTTGTCGAAGAGAAATACTAAGGGTTCGGACAATATTTTCATTGAATAATGTTTCCGACAAAGGTTGTCAAATTGACTGACATGTTTATCGTATAGTACAGTCCACTATGAAAATTAGCTGTGGTTTGTTTCAACTACCTATTTTAAAAATTTTGTCACTTTCTAAGTGTTGAATTTTATGGGATTGGGAAAGAAGTACCGAGTTTGAAGCGTTCATGAGCAGACATTGCAGTTGAATATTCAAGTTCTGAATTTGATTATTGATGAATAATAAAATAAATCTACTAGCTCGATTGATGGTTTCATTTAATTTATTTAAATCAGGTTACCTATAATAATATTTTTTCATTAATTTATGAAAATATCAAATTAGCCCGTAATCCTGAATCCTGATACATAAAGTTAGCCTATTAATTTAACACAGGTACGACTGTACTCAGTGTTGCACTATCAAATGCAATTGAAGCGCCTCTATGCCAGGGTTTTTATGTTCCTGGTCAGGCTATATATATCATAAAGTTAATGGTATATATATAAAAATACAAAGCTATTTACAGACTTAAGTTTAGGATATAATTATTATAATAATTTAATAATGCGGCCATGTTGTTTTCTTAAATTGTGTATTTATAATGCGTGCGTGCGTTTATTTTAAAGTTACGCCAAGTCCATGAGATATATACTAGAAAGTGTCAACTTCTATGAAAAAAAAAAGCTACAAGTGTCAAAACTCCTTGAAGTTGATTGATTTGACGATTGCCTGACTGACGTTTCGATAAAAACGAAAATTTGAAATTATTTGAACTGAATTAATCTGAAATCTTTCTAAAATTTAAGATTGAGCCAGCCTTTTTTTAAATGTGTTACGATATCCAAAATGTATCCAATAATTAAATTTTTGTTTGTAAACCTTTGAGGGCTCATCATAACCCACATCATCATGGAAAACATAGTGAACCTAAATGATGTTTTCTTTAATTGTTATTTTTTGATAGGTGGCTTGTTCTTGAGTTATTTAGTTTACAAAATATTTTATGTACTTTTCAATAATAATAATTACATTCAAATAAATTATAAAAGTAGGGGTCATACTTGGAGGAGTATTCTATGTAATAAATCGATACCTTACAATATTTACGTAAGTACCAAATATTTTTTATGCTCAATGTTACATGCTTAACTAAGCATTTTCGTTACGTATATGAACTTTACAAAAGAAAAATAAAAAGTACTAAAATTAGTATTATTTTATATCTAATAAAATTATTATTAATTTAAAATAATAAGCTAACAAGTTACTGAAATTGTATTTTTTATTAATTTCAGTGCACCACCTGTGGTAAACTGATGCTACATCAAGATGGTCTCTTTTGTGAATGTTGTGGTGTAAGTGCTTGTAAAAGTTGCTGCCGTGCAGTTGATAAGAGGTTCAGATGCAAAGCAATTACTTGGCCCAGTGACAAAGCATTTTATCATCATTGGGTTGATGGTCAGTTTTCTTGTAGAGTTCTTATTGACAGTAAATTAATTTTATGATTATTGTCAACAGCAATTTATTTATTAATTACAGTTGGCTCCTTCCGAACACAAAATGCAGATAATAGTGAAAATGGTCCCAAGAAATTTTTTTGCTGCTGGTGTCAGAAAATAAAATTATCTTATCTTAATGCACTTAGTGAAACTGAGGTAATTTTATATTTTATTTGCTGGTTGCTATTAACAGCAAGACATTTAATTATGTTTTTATGTTACAGGAATGTAACTTTCACAGATATAGAGACATAATTATACCACCTACATGTGTCCAAGTAGAAAAAGGAGCAATTACAAGTATTAAGCCTCTATTAGATGACAATTGGGAACCTCTAATTATATTTGGTGCGTTAAAATTAATACAATCATTTATAAAAATATTTTCCTATTATTAATATTGTTATAAATTACAAGTATGTATTGTTTATAAGTTGTCCAATTATAGCTTTTATGATAAGTTTAATAAGGTATTCAGTCTGTTTGGTAACTTAGTAATAAGGTTATTATTTGTTCCACCTCTGCCAGCCAAAAAACTTTAAGAATGTGCTGATAACAAATTTTTTTTCTGTTAATCATTTATGTGTTCTGTATAATAATATGATGTTTTTGTTTTTTAGCAAACCGGAAGTCCGGTAGCAACAGAAGTGATGAAGTCCTGTCACTCTTTAGAGGATTGCTCAATCCAATTCAGGTACCTAATAAGTTTAATTTGATTGAAACCAATGTAAACAATATTTTTACTGTATTTCTTTATGAAATTGTCTTTAAACCAGGTTGCGTATAGCGTAAGCGTTGCGACGTAGTGCAGAGCAGAACAGTAAAGCAGCATCAAGGAAATAAGGTGGAGAATCTACATTAAAATTCGAATGTTTATTTTCTTCACATGTCACATGTGTTGAACATCGCTATCGCTTCTTGATTTTTCTACTCTGTTGTGTCGTTTTCATCTCATCTTCCAGCGGCAGCCTTACCCGCACTTTGAACATCGATTGTTCGTTACAAATGTCCATTTCAAGTGTTGATTACTAAATTAAACGATTAAGTTATTTGGTGTATTGTTTATGTTGTTGATAGGTGGTGGATATTAGCACCACGAGCCCAGAGAGCGTGGTGCGATGGCTGCCGCCGCGCTGCCGCATCCTGGCCGCCGGGGGGGACGGCACCGTCGCCTGGATCCTCAACAGTCTCCTCGCCGCGGGACATATGGGAGTAAGTACTTATCATTGCCATCATTATGGCTTAAAAGGATTTGCCACACTGGACACAAAGTGAACGCAGCCCGCAACATGTATGAACTACACTGTCGGGTCGGTCTCTAACGCCCGTATTCACAAACATCACTATGAGGTCTCACAGTGCGCGTGGACGCACAGGGTGACACGTGAACCAATCACAGCTCTGTTCGACGCTGTGCGTTCGATTTGTTGCGTCACATAAGGAAGTATCGTTTATGAATACGGGCGTTAGTATTAAATTTTGCATTGATGTGATCTGACCGTCCTGGCAGCTGCAGCCTGGCACGAGCAAAGAACGCAAACCGACTGGATGCGGGCTGCATTCACTTTGACCTGACTGCAGACCGCAGAATGTATTCAGTGTTGTAGTTCCATAATATTATCTCGTAGTTTCGACTTGTATCTAAGTGCTTTGAATTTGAATGCTTTACCTTGAGCTTGCTTTTACTTTTTCATGAGAAATGAAAATAATAGATATTTGACGGTATGAAATATTTTTTTGCAGGCGGCTGTGGGCATTCTGCCGATGGGGACCGGTAACGACTTGTCGCGAGTGCTGGGCTGGGGGCCGGGCTGTGGCTCGCATTTAGACGCACATTCCATTATAACTAGTATTAAGCAAGCCAATGAACAAGTTTTAGACAGGTTTGTATGTTCCTTCTTCAGTTAATTATTATTTATATCCTAGAGATTTTATTCTTACCTTTTGTGTGAAACTTTGAAACATGGCAAGTTATGCAACTAGGTAATAAAAAAAAATGATTTATACAATTTAATAAATAAAACACATTATCGTTAGTAGACGAAAAGCTCATACGTTTTTTTAAGTCCCATTAAGTACTCGTAGCAAGCTAAATACCTAGTTATGCTTGTGTTACAGTGGTTTTCACCACAATAATCTAGCGGCGGGGTTCGAAACCGCGTTCCTCGGATCTCAATTCGGCCACACCATTGGGCGTTATCACTTCGATTTGTCGTAAAATAACTGAATATGATGATTAATATTCATATTCATTGAAGGAAATTTCACAGGGCAGTCAATCTTTAATTTAATCAATAATTTAAATTTTCTTTCGGCTGATATCTACTAAGTGCAAAATAACAAAAATACTATAATACGGCCCTGAAGAGGGCCTCCACACTAAGTCTGCGGGTACGAAACTGGCAACGGGCGAGCGATGGGCGGGGCGACGTAATAATATAGCGATCGCCGCCGCTCGTTTCGTGCGCGTCACCATAAACTGTCATGTTGTTGTATGCATCGCCCCGCCCGCGCCGCTCTGCTGTCGCTATCGCTCGGCCCGTCGCCAGTTTCGTGCCCGCAGACTAATGAAGAATCTGAAGACTTAGTGTGAGTTTAAATCAAATGTGACAACGCGCTCACTAGAAAAAAATTACATTAAATGTATGACGGGTTGTACAGCGCCCCTAGCGGAAACATTCAAGAACTAAAATTTTCTAATATTTTTTTAACGCGCTCACTAGTGAGGACGTTTGGTGTAAACTCACACTAAGCCCTCAGGATTTGGTTACCTTGTTACAAACAATGGCGGGCAGATGGAAGGTGACGATCACGCCGCGGCGCGGGCGGCTGGGGCGCGCGCGCGAGCGGGTGGTGTTCGCGTACAACTACGCCAGCATCGGCGTGGACGCGCAGGTCGCGCTCGACTTCCACCGCGCGCGCTCGCAGTTCCTGCACCGGTACGCCAGCCGGATGCTCAACTATGTACGTCGCTGCCTAATTTATTAGAGCGCTTTCACATTTTTAGGCGACTTTGCAGCGCGACAAACGCGCTACCGAATAATTTCATACTATTATGACAGCGGATGCCTGTCTTCACATTATAAAAACGCCGCTGCTGCGCTGCTTTCGCGCTTCTGACGCCCTAATGTGAAGGCGGCCTTACTTTCGTTCATTTCAGCCGAATGACGTCCACTGCGGGACAAAGGCGTGGATCAAGGATTTCCACAAAGACCGGTCCTGCGCCGCCGGCGTCCAGGCACTTTCCGCGCCCTCACTAGATCGTCGGTCCACCTAGGAGGCCTGCCCACTACGTCTTCCGGCTTGTGGTTGCCACTCGAGAAGTTTCTTGCCCCAGCGGGCATCAGCTCTGCGAGGTGCTTTATTATTAATTTATTACTTTAGTTTTTTTGCATACATAAGTTAATAGGCATTTTTACTATTTTTGAAATAGAGTAACAAACGGAGAGCGAAGTCTTAAGAAAAATTATGCCCCAATGTTAGTGAAATTGTCGAATTAATTCGATTGAACATTATTTTGTTACACAGAGCCAATTTAGTGATCATAGCGTCCTGTATGTAGTTAGGAAAGTAACGAACCAAAAACATACTTTACTGCCTTGTCTTCACAAAAGATAAGGAGACATGTAAAGTGCCCCATAAGGGCTACCTTTTCTTTTTTTATTATTTTCTATTGACGTTCATAAGTGCCACTTGTGGTCTAAACTGAATAAATATTTTTGATTTTGATTTTGTACAGGTGGCGTACGCGTGGCTGGGCGCAACACGCGCGTGGGACGCGGGCGCGTGCGACGCGTTAGAGCGGCGGCTGGCGGCGCGCGTGGACGGCGCCGAGCTGGCGCTGCCGCCGCTGCAGGCGCTCGTCGTGCTCAACATACCCTCCTGGGGCGCTGGCGTCGACCTCTGGAGTTCGTAACTCTCACTAAGCCTAGGCGCAGACCACCAACTTTTAATCAGTAATCCAGCATGTATGAAAGTGCGCACATTGCACCGATTTGGTATCCTACAAATTAGAATCGGGCCCAACTATCGACCAACTAAAAGTCGGGGGTCTGCATCCTGCGCTGCGCTTAGGCTAACTCTTACACAGGCAGCATACATGCCTCACCGTTTTTTACTGCGGTTGGATAAAATACTTTCTCAACAAACTCATAAAGGAAACTGTGTAGCAACTTCATGAAAGTTAGAAAATTATTCTTATTTACCTACTTTCAGGTATGGGAAACGAGGGAGAAGTGGAGCCTCAAAGGATTGATGATGGAAAAATTGAGGTATTTGCTAATTAATAAAATTATTACGTTTTTACTATGTTGATAGATGCTACTGACTAAGTACTTACGTACATATTTTGTTTGCAGGTAGTGGGTATCTCTTCATCTATCCATATTGCGCGACTCCAGTGTGGTTTGGCGGAACCATATCGCTTTACACAAGGGTCGAAAGTGAAGGTAAAGATGTTCAATATTCGGATTGTAATTAACATAAGATAGCGTGGTGGTGCAAAATATTCGCTTCTTGCACGTCCACTACCGCTATCCGCTTCAGTAGATTTTGCTTTTAATGAAAATGGTGTTGGTACAATAGATAAAAATGTATTTGGATTGTATTCGCCAGCTATGTCTGTAATCTGCTTTTCGCCAAAGTGGAAAGGGGAGGAGATGTTTTAACCAATCCCCGTTCGTTGTTCCCACTTATCTTCACTCAGCTTCGATTCGGAAATCTGACAAGTTACTCAAAATACATCATTTCTATCTCGGCTTTCGTTTAACCTGATCGAGTTAACTGCGCACCTGGCGGATGTGACGTTACATCGACGCTTTGGTACGAACGGGGCGTGCGGGTGAGTGCGACGAGTCGCATTCCAGCGAGGTGCGCTCGCGCAGTTAACTCGACGGGTTGTAGGGACCGGAACTAAGTATCTGTTTTATAGCCTGACCAGGAACATAAAAACCCTGGCATAGAGGCGCGTCAATTGCATTTGATAGTGCAACACTGAGTACAGTCGTACCTGTGTTAAATTAATAGGCTAACTTTACTTATGTATCAGGATTCAGGTTAATTTGATATTTTCATAAATTAACGAAAAAATATTATATTATAGGTGAACTGGTTTAAATAAATTAAATGAAACCATCAATCGAGCTAGTAGGATTTATTTTATTATTCATCAATAATCGAATTCAGAACTTGAATATTCAACTGCAATGTCTGCTCATGAACGCTTCAAACTCGGTACTTCTTTCCCAATTATTCCAGAAAATTCAACACTTACAAAGTGACGAAAAACTTTAAAATAGGTAGTTGAAACAAACCACAGCTAATTTTCATAGTGGACTGTACTACACGCTAAACATGTCAGTCAATTTGACAACCTTTGTCGGAAACATTATTCAATGAAAATATTGTTCGAACCCTTAGTATTTCTCTTCGACAAATACTTTAACACATTGTGAACCACTTTTCTTTCACGACTATAAAAAGTTTTTAGCAATTTAATTCACAAAATCAATTGCACACATTTAAAATAAAGTTTTTTTACACTTTGACAGCAATTTATTGACATACAAGATGACATGTCGATGAAGTTTTCAGTTATAGTTCCAAAATACTGGACTGTCCTGTCGATGACATTGACAGTGGGGCGCCACCGTCAATACCGGATCGCTGGTTCAGATTTTTGCCATGTTGGAAACCATATAGTTGAACGATGGCAGCGCCCCCCTGCCATTGAGTTTGGTGGGACAGTTCAGCGTGGGTCATCTATACTGTTGCCATTAAAAGAAATTAGTACCATTAGTTTTCCGTAACATGGCGAGGGTTTTTATGTTCCTGGTCGGGCTATACACAAACCATCCTCATTGCAGATCGAGCTGAACGGCACGTGCGCGATGCAGGTGGACGGCGAGCCGTGGATGCAGGGCCCGGCCACGGTGCGCGTGGCGCGCGCCGGCCAGTGCCGCGTGCTGCGCGCCGCGTCCGCCCGCGCCGCGCTCTGAGCGACGCGCCCGCAGCACGAGGGTACTTTGAATCTCAACAGTTGGGTAATTGACACCACTTACTAGTAATGTGTAAAGTCCTGTCGCCGAGAAGATAGGATTTCGTACAATGACCCTCACTGTGCGACGGGCGGCCGTAGTTGGGCACAACTTTTATGTAAAAATTAAGTATTTCATTCAAGTAAAGTGACGTCATAGGTCTCTACGAAATCTCTTACTTATGTCAGATAACCGAATATGTAGTGGTGTCAAATGGCTAATAATTTCACAAACTATTCTGAAAAGACGATCGGTGTTTTTTAAACCAAAACCGAAGATGAACGGCTTTTTAAATATGTTAGGTAATGGATTACATAATAATATGTGTATTAATTTATTCTATTTATGTAAGTACTTACAAATTTTATCGCATGTATCATCCTTTTAGGGTCACATTATTGTAAAACTACATTATAATTGCATAATGTTCGAATGTTTACGGGTTTGAATTTTACTATTCTCTGAGATAAACGCACATGAGAACTTTTTTAGCCACCATAGCCGACATGGATGCAGCGTTAAGGATATTGTAGCATTTATTATAATTTGATGCCGCGCTAAATTGATAATTTGAGCTGCCAAAGTATGCCAAACTAACGTCGCGTTCGTGTCCCGCTACTGTGCACTCTTGCCCACTGTGTAGGATTTAGGGCCCAATTAACTCTGTTTTTCTATGTGGATGTGGTATTAAATATTATAGCCTACCTTTTTGTGGCACTCACAATGCAGATTCCGTGTATTCAGTGTAGACTTCCAAATATCCGATGACTAATAGTTACAAAAAGGACCTACACTAAAACTTGCGCGGGCGTACACATGCGTACCTGGATCGAAAAAAGTGTAGGTATAATAGGTATAATGGCGCAGTGTAGCGCAGACGCACAGCAGACGCGTGTGACGGGTTTCCACTAGCGAGGTGGGGGCGGTAGTAGTGTACTGATGGCGGCGCAAGTATAGGCGGGCACCGCGCAAGTTTTAGCGTACAGCTTAGGGGAGTTTGAAAATATAGTAGCAATTATTCTTCAACAATTTATATTATGTATTACATAACCATATTATTTTAACAAAACATGGAATTCTGTAATTACTTCGAATGTAACAGTTATTTTTATATTACACAATGTTTTAAATTACTGTGACAGGTAACACTTACCACTATGTGGTTGAAAAATTCGTACATACCTAAATACGTTTTACTTATTTTAAAATCACAGAAATAAACTGATAAAAAATAATAATTCGATAATTGTATTCATACCCAAAGTAATAGAAAAAACATACACATCATCAACATTTAGGTATCATAGTTTTAACAATACATATAAACTTATTAAAGATCTCAAACAACCTACAAATATTTTAAATTTATAGTACTGTAAATAAACTATGCTTTTAGGCCAACGTGTTTGTAATCATGTGTGGTTTATAAAAGTACCTATTTTAAAATAAAATATATTTTGACTTAAATTTTGTTTTTATATTTTAACCTATCTCTAGTACTCAACTATGCTTAGAAGTCACATGGTTAAATTGTTTTACTTGAGTTTAGATTGCAAATTGTTTTAAATTTAAAATAATTAACCCGTAAACCACAGCAAAAGCTCGCGAAATCAATGACCAGATCAGTATTATATTATATTTCGCCGCGTGTAACTTCTAAGCTTAGTAATAAGTAGATGTATAAATGAGTTGAAATAAATAAACAATATTAGAACTATAACAATCGGGGCAAACGTTTGTACATATTTAGTTGTCCAATTAGGCAAGAATTTATAATGATTTTATCTAATCCTTCATAAAATAGAACCAAAAAACATTGATCGCTTGTTTAGAAAACCTAATCGCTTGCGGATTAGGTTTTCTAAATAATTATGAAGTTTTAAGATGTAAGTGTAAATAAACATTCCTACCAACGAATACCACTTACACAAATGTATCTAAAAACTCCACGTACCTACATATTATAAAGGCTGCGTACAAGATACATACAGATCTAGCCAGGGCCGCGCCGCCCCTGTGTGCGATGTGTGCGGCGCACACAGGCGCCAAGACAATAGGGGCGCCGCGCCGCTACTGCCACCTATTTTTTTTAAATGGAGTACATATCGATAAGTAAGTAGGTACAGTATGCGCAAGCGCAACAAAACAAATATTACGCTTATTAAACAAGTCTCTCAATATTTATGTGTTTATTATGATTCACGTTTATGGTTTCATTTTACGCTTAGGGTTTTAGTTTAGTTTACACTAGCGGCCGCCCGCGACTTCGTACGCGTGGATCCCGTTTTACCCCCTTCATCTATCTTACGCGGTTTAGATTTTTTCATACATATGTTTTTTCCCGCCTACTCCCGTGGGAATTTTGCAATATCCTGTTGTAACTAAGCTTTAAGTTTACTAAGGTACCTGCTTGCCAAAAAGCGGTTAAGCGGTTTTGATTTTTTATACAAAAGGATTTTCCCGCTAATTCCCGTTTCCGTGGGAATTCCTAAGTATACTATAACCTGCCCAGGAGTATGAAGAATAATTGTACCAAAGTTCGTTAAAATCCGTCGAGTAGTTTTTGTTTCTATAAGGAACATACAGACAGACAGACAAAAATTTTACTGATTGCATTTTTGGCATCAGTGTCGATCACTAATCACCCCCTGGTAGTTATTTTGAATATATATTTAATGTACAGAATTGACCTCTACAGATTTATTATAAGTATAGATTACTTACGAGCTCAACGTTAAAACGGCGGCAGTTCTTTTGAACCATAAAGTACTAGTTACATATTTTGAACCGTAGAGGCGCCGAGTTTGTAATACAATTTTTTTATGACTATGAGTGAGTTTATGAACGCAACCCGATGCGATGCGTGCGAGTTGCGACACAAACGGGATGGGGTCCCGGGGATTCCCCGCCACGGGGATTTTAACGAACGAGATAGCCAAGCCAAAACCACAGTATACAGGGTGTTTGGCGGAAGGTTAGACAAACTTCGTGGGTATATAGGTAAGGTCATTATAAGAATACAAGTTCGCCCATTTTACCCAGTGAGCTACTAAGTAAGTAAGTAACTACTGAAGTAAGTAAATAGTTATGTTCGCAAAAATAAGTTAACGAAAAAGAGCGATTTGCATAACTTTACTTTGGAACGACAAAGGACAATGACCAAAAGTGGTCCAAATGTCCACCACTGATGAGACCTATATTGGCTTAAAGTCCATTAAATAGAGAATAACTTTCAGTATGGGACGAAAAAAAAATATGCTGTCAGTAAAAACTTATGACTGTATGAAAAATTGTAGTAGTTTACGCGCTAATCTCAGGAACTACTCGTCCGATTTGAAAAATTATTGTTGTTATGGATAGCTCATTTATCAAGGATGGTTTCAGGTTACATAACATCACCCTACAACCAGTAGGGGTGGAGCAGTAAAGATAAATGTTGTAAAAATGGGAAACCACCCGACCTTAATGACCAGAAAAGAAAGGTACATACTAGACATCCAAACTAAGCCTTGCGGCCGAGGAAGACCCCGAATTTCATGGATGTCCGTAGTAAACAGGGACCTTAAAGAAGTCCAAGTAAACACTGAGACAACCCAGAACCATGCCGCCTGGAGACATGTCTTTTTTTTTCTTTTAGCGAGAACCTAACACGGCACACTAAGCGACATGACATAACATGCATAGATTAGTCCAAAATGTGCGATGGATAGAATGATATCAAGAACATTTTGCGGATGAAAAGGTAAAAAACATGACTTTTCAATTAGTTATAACTTTTTACTGACAGCATATTTTTGATTGCGGTTTGGTTATAATGAATCAGTATTTAGTAGACTATTTTACTACATAGGTCTCGTTAGTGGTGGACATTTGGACCACACTCCATACATTTTTGGTCATTGTCCTTTATTTTAAACAAAAATAAACTTGCCGTTACTATGGAACAATAATACAAAAGTTATCCATACAAAGCTTCTTCCAGCATCGTTATATTTTCTGCTATACTCATTTTCATTACTTTTTTTGTGTTTTATTTCAAAATTAATTTAAAAATAATAACCACATTATGAAGAAAAAACAGTAAAAAAATTCTAAATTTACTTTGCATGGATAACTTTTGTATTACTGTTCCATTTTCTTCCCTAAACTTTGAATTTTTGACGAATTTCAACATCTAATTAGGCTACATGTGACATAATATCATTGGAAAGAAGAGAAGCTAGAGATGTTTTTAATATCATTGGCAATTCACTGTCATCTTTAATTTTTTTTAAATAGAATTCCAAGTAGTTTTTTTTATCATGGTTCGTACTTTTGTTAAACTTTGGCGGCTCGTAACTAGCTATCCAATCATTATCTGGATCTGAAATTTATTTTACTTGACTTAAGACATATTCGAAAACACGCGAGAAAAAAAAAGCAGTTTTTAGGTCAAATTTCGGAAAAAATTAAATTAAAACAAAAATATAAATTTAAAAAAATAGCCCACTTAGGGTAAAATGGGCGAACTTGTATTCTTAAAATGACCTTACCTATACACCCACGAAGTATGTCTAATCTTCCGCCAAACACCCTGTATTATAATTTAAGTATGATTAAAGTATTCTTGTTAGCACCAGTTGCAAGTGCATTTCAGTAGCACTAATATAAAAAAAAAGTTAGACTCTTGCTGTTTTTACATAGCATAGGTAGGTACGTAATAGTCATATTAGTATTATTATGATTAGAAACAAGTAAGCTTCTTTGTTATTAATATTTAAATATACAATTCTTTGTATTAAGCATGTAAAAATTTAGTTCGAGTTTTCTTTTTCGTAGTAATTGGCAAGCAGAACGAACGGGATTTACCTATTTAGTATCCTAATTTCTAAGTGGTTTTCAGTTTTAATACACTTATGATAATATTATCTAAGTACCTACTGTAAAACTGAAGAACATTTATTTTAGTCAAAATTAACAATTAAAATATTCGTTAAAAATAATTTAAATTCGTTTTTTTATGACGATTCATTAGAAAAGAGGCGCTTTATAGGTTCCGCACACAGGCGCTGCCGGCGGTCGGCGCGGCCCTGGATCTAGCCATAGTACACTTATTTATTGAACACCGATAACAATAAATTTTTTTATTAAACATTTTGACCAGTTTAAGATAAATCAACTTAGTACATGAATCTTTCTTAAAACCGTATCAGATACAAAAATATACATATTATGTAGCTTATGTAGGAATGTAAACTGTTTTTACATATCACCTTTTTGCAAATTGTTTAAATACTGTAGGTTGAGATTGTTAAAAAATATAATAGGTAGGTAGTATGTTTTTGGCACAGAATACGAGAACAAAAGGATGCATAAAGTGGTAGTGGTCTGTTAAATTATTCGGATCTTTTAAATAAGATAAATATGTTAAGGAGTGATAGATGTTTTTTTTTGTTATTGAAATTGAACTACTTCTTTTTTATAGAAAGCATTTTAAAGTACCTAAATGTACGATTTTAATTTACCCTTAGGTAATCAAATAAACCTTTTATACAATAAGTAATAGTATTCCACTGACACCTTTATTTTGTGATCTTATGTAAAAAATCTGAATACGGCCAGGACAATATTGTAGCATGGTTATGAAATTATTTCGATAAACCATTTTTAGCTGTATATTATTGAACATTGGATTGGAAGACTGTAATAACAGATTAAAAATGTCAAGATTTATGTAAATAAAATAATATTAGTCACTTGTTGATGTAAAAAAAATATCAAAATACTATTACACTTATTTACTGCAAATAACAGTAACTATCAATGTTTGAAATGGTATAATAATAATAAGTTATCTAAAAAAACTATTAAATAACGCCTATGATGATGACCTAGTCAGAGTTAAATTCTTCCAATAAATTAGTTTTCTAGAATGAGTATGTTATTGTATTGTCTACAAAGTTAATTCTGGTCTAAAAGTTAACAAACAACAAGGATAAGTTAATATCTTAACTTCCTAACAATCTTTCATAATATATTTTTCCTAAATGCAACTAAATGTTGTAACTAGTAAGCAGTATTATACTATTATAACATTTATTGAACTAATTCCAATTTAACTATACCAAAATTCATTCTAAGTTGTTCTAGGAACACAAATGTTAAAATAGTATGAGGCGCGAGTCTCGCAAATGCTGGAATGTATCCTTTGAAAAATGCTAATGGACTTTCTTTAGCGGTGCTCTTTATCAGCTTAAATATGCTCTTGATCTCACCTGGCTTAGCATTCATTGCTCTAGTCTTCAGCACATCAACGGGTTGAGTCATGGTGGTCGCGATAGCTCCCTAAAAATGCAAAAAGAAAAGATATGTGTAGGTAGGTATTAAAGCAGTGCAGTTGATACAGAAAATAAAATGCCTTGTTTTTGCTAAAAGGGCGATCCTTACAGCCAATAAACTCGATGTAAAGTGCGTCACCACATTGTCACTAAAATATGAGGTAGTAAGTAGAAGTTCTTTGATTTTGTCGTAGAACGATAGTTGCCCAATGGTCATAAGCACGGCGCGACTGCAAGTCATGGACGCGCCTGCCCAGAGCCGTAACACGCCTTCATCGGCTGCGACGCGCCATAATCCATGGACAGCATTTTTATAGCTGAAAAATTATTGAAAAAAAAGTGGTTTATGACAATGTCCGCTTTACAAGTAGAATATATCAATAAGTTATTCTTCAAACTGGTTGTTCTGCAGTCACTATAAAAGTGTTCCCTTTTAAGGCTTCCACAGACCAAACGCGGGTCAGAAGCAGTGCGGGTCAGTTGCAGCGCGGCAATAGGCACACTGAAGGCAGCGGCAGTTTCAAAGCAGTTGCAACGCGGGCGGTTAAAAAAAAATACAATATTCGTAAACCGCTTTCAACGCATTGCGCTGCACTGCTACCGCCCTGCCCGTGAGTCATGTTAATATGGCCGCCATAGTAATACAACAGCGCGGGCCCGTAGCAGTGCGGCGCGGCGCGGAGCGGTAGGAGCGCGGGCCCGCGTTCTAATTTGGTGTGATACACTACAAAGAGTTTCTTGTATTACAAATTGCGCGGGCCCGCATTCCAACAGCGCTGCTACTGCCCCGCGTTTGGTCTGCCGAAGCCTTAAATGTATGATTCATGCTTAAACAATATTTACAATAATTTTTAACTTACTTCCTTCGTTGCTCACGAGGTAGCTTGACATCATTTTGCATTCGCACATTTACCAAGTCAGCTGGGTTTCCCACAAATCCTCCAGCAAATCCGCCTAATCCCGCTAGGAACGCTGACATATAAAATGGCATAGAAGTACCCTGAAATAGTTAGCAGAGTTTCGTATTTAATAAAGTTAAAGTCCCAAGTTGAATATCACCACAATACCACACCGTGCCCTTGTTTAATACTATGTTCCACAAAACAAAAATCAATCAACATCTTCATTTATTCAAAGATTCAAAGTTTCATTTGTTTCACACAGTGCACAATATGTGTGGTGAATATTTGAGTTAATGGATGAGTTTTAAAAGTAATTGAAATGAAGTGTGCTTATAAAATATGATTTGGTTAGAGATAGCAGAATCATATTTAAAGGCATATTTTATTTTCTGGTGTGGTAAATATACAATATTATGAATTCATATGATTCATATTATATTTACCACGCCAGATAATAACATAACTGCCTTTAAATATGGATGGAGGACTGTTGTGGATGCCCTCTGCCCCATCTAGGGGACATAGGAACATAAGTCAAGTAAGTCAAGTCTTTAAATATGATTCTGCTATCTCCAACCAAATTGGTACTGAATGTATTAAATCACTTATGTGTATAGGGGTTTAATAATTTTAAAAAATCTTACATCTTTTGGTGCAAGTTTTTGTTTAGCCATTTCATATATTCCAAATCTGGCAGTTGAATATGTTAGCTGCCTCAGTAGAGATGCTGATATGCCATTATAAAGTCCCATGACACCTTCAAATAATTAAAGTTAATTAGATATTGCAATGAAATAATGATTTTAAGTTTATATTTTTAAGTCCATTCACCAGCACATCAGACATTTTTGTTGCAAAATTGCACACAAATAAGGGTCTATTCCACTTTGATCACCCAGGTCAACTTTTCCATGGGTAATCAAAGGACACCAAATTGTCACTTGAAGTCCACTTTGATCACCTGGGTGATCAAAGTGAAATAGACCTAATTATGATGCCATAGTGTTAACAGGCATGCTGTCATCTGTACATGATATCCTATTTTGTTTTTATTTGAAATCATTTGTCTCACCTTGATTTTTGATAACTATTCCAGTCAATTTCAGCATAGAAATATTTTTTCCTTTTTGTGTTTGCATTTGGACTTTTAGCAAATCCAAGGGATGGGTGATGCATGCAGCCCCAGCTGATGCCAGGCCTCCAAAGTACCATCGTGAAATCCTCACTTCTTTATCCTTACCCATGACACTGAAACAATGGATGTGATTAAAGAGGTATAATGATAAGTGCCTACTTACTTACCTACATGTACTCTACACTACATTATCATAATGGTTTGTGGTTTATTATCACATGAGTTAAACTACATATTTGTTAACTTGTAAAATGCAACACTTTTTACTAATCTTAGCTATAAATATTAATTTGCTTTAATTTTTGTAACAAAGAAAAATGTTTAATAAAATCCAATAAGGTAGGTAGTGGATTAGTCAATAAACGATAATAAAGTAAGAATTTCATCGAAGCCTGTCTAATTAAACAACATAATCCATTCATAAACCATCCAACAACATAAACAAAGTTCCATTAATTAGGCTTAAAAGAACTTAAAATAAAATTATTATTAAATGTAAGGTAAACCATGCTAAGTCATACACTTAATTTTTTATCACAATTAAATAAATACCAACCAGCCCGACCACTAAAATTCACTACACCCGCGCGGCTGTGCGCCAACCAACTAGTTTTACTATCTCATTCATAAAACCACATGCATTCGAGTCGATTTCCGACGAAGTGGTCATGTATGCGTATTCTTCATCAATAGATCTATGAATAGTAATAAAAAATAGGTACTCATGAATTATTAATGAATTCATTCATTCATGGTCTCAATTCTCTTTTTTTTTGTTTTAACTTTCGTCTTTCAATATTTTCATCGTCTTGACAGATTATTAATTAATGGCTGCGTGCGTTTGGCCGAAAATAGCGCTTGTTATGGCGGATTTACACTGCGCGGAAATTAGCCAAGTCAAGTCAAAAAAACAGTGGGGTGGGGATGAAAAATGAATGAATTTCAGCCTTAGTAATTTCCCATACATTTTTTAGCAGTGATATCATTTACCGCTAAAAGGCCATATTTTTTCTTACTAGCGTTATTTTCGGCCAAACGCCTCCAATTATCGGAACTTGTATGAGGAAAATAAAAATAGGTACAGTTTCAGGTAGTAGGTACGGCATGCGATTTTTGACACACTCAAACCATGGAGGTACTTGAAAGTGAAAATATTGATGTATACAAAAATTGCTTGAATAAATAAATATTAAATCGACAAACTAATGACAAACAGCTGTTTATCTCTTTCTAACTTACCCATGGTGACGTATGAAAAAAAATATAGATAATGTTTGCAGGTCAGAACTCATTCTGGCAACATTTTCATGAAACGTCACTAACTACCTGACTTGTGCCGAGTACATACAAGATTTAAGAAAACAAAATGGCCGCAATCAGCTGACAACTACACACACATACACACACACAACAACCTGTCAGCTGATTGCCTGAGTGTATTTATAATGAATGAGTGTAAGTGTGTGCGTAATGTATGTACCGACGTGCCGAGCACGTTAAGTTATGCCGATTAATACAAGCCCTACTGATCTAATGCTTAAGCAATTTTATTGGATAAATATTAATGACAAAAGAATCTTTGTTTCTTTTTACTAACCGATGCAATGGTGTTTCCATGGAAAAAAGATTTAAGCTGGGTTGCACCCATGAAGCTATCTATTGCTTCATGGTTGCACCATCTTATTTTAACTTTGACAAACGTCAAAAATCTGTCAAACTCCATACAAAAAACACCGGTTATCGTCATGGTTACCGTTAAAGTTAGGTGGTGCAAGTGTGCAACTCAGCCTTAGATTATTGTTTCCTCAGTCATTATCATTACTCTTGACTAGAGATGGGTAGTGGGTAAAAACCCATTTCACCCGATTGGGTTTAAACTGGTTTTTACCCGGGTGGAAACCCATCTCTACTCTTGACATGATGTCATGTGTAGAGATGGGTTCCCACCCGGGTAAAAACCCACATGAGGGTAAAAACCCAATAAAAACCCGTTTCATTCCACCCGTGGGTGTTTACACCGGGTGAAAACACATAATTTTATAATTATTTCAATTGGTATCTTTTCTTTATTTTTATTGAATTTTTCTCATTTAAGTTTATTGATTAATAAGTAATAAATCAAATTTAACACTAATATGCATTTATATCGTGGCCAAATCGTAAAATTGATCACGTTATGATGATGTGACCAATTATTTTATAAAATGGTGTTATTTCAAGAATCGTTGAACCGATTTAGAAGAAATTTAGTAGGAACATAATAATTTGTGATCATGGCAAGGACATGGAGGGGGGGAGGGAGGGGATGCCAAAGATGCCAAACTCTCTCTTTGATGACATTACGGTATAAAGTTACAAATAACAACACCAACTACAAAGTACTTCTGCTTAAAAACTTGAAATTGAACCGCCCTTCCGCCACTGTAACGCATTGTAACGTTTTTCAGGACCTCCTCTCCCCCCAGATTGCATTACGTAACACTAGAACGCCCCCTTAGCAACAAATACCACTTCTCACTTTAAAAAAACGCTATTTTTGTTTTCACCCACCAGAATGGGTGATAATGGGTAAAAACCGGGTTTTTACCCAAATCACCCAGTTTAAACCCAATCGGGTGAAATGAGTTTTTACCCACTACCCATCTCTAGTCATGTGACGTCATCAGCGATGCTCACCGAAATATTTTTGTTTATTTCTTGTTAAATATAGCAACAAACTTGGAAAGTTAACTCTAAAATTGGAAAACTACATGGATGGCAGCCATTTTATATTCCAACTAGATTATATTTTAGTTATTTTAGGTATAATCAATCAGTCCATAGGTTAACAAGTCTATGCATATTATGACAAGACTGACAGATGTCATCCACATGTCATGAACGTCATCATCAGCATGAAGTTATTTTGGTTGGTTAATTTTTAACCTCGAAAAATTAGTTATTTTCTTCCATTTATCTTGTGAAAGGAATACAACACAACAAGAATTAAAACAAGTTCGATTTAATTTGATCTTTCTATAAAAAGAGGAGAACGTGCTAAAGTTCTCGATAAACAGGTAACTTATTTTTAAAAGTTGTAGTAGTTCACACAGTTTTTTAGATTCGTTTATTATGAAATCTAGACAGGCAGAAAAAAACTTTATTACCTTTGTTAAAACGCGGATGATTTTTTAAAACTAATTTAACAGAACTTCATTTAATCACTTATGCAATATTCATGGAAATGCTTATAACTCTGAAGTCGAAGACCGACTGAACGGCACAGCGAGTTTATCTGCAAATTACGCGACGCATTTTTTTAATGTCCATATTGAGAGCGTGACGTATAACGGTCGTTTCAGTCTATACCTATTATATTAAAATTAGACTTATTAATAGGTGTGCCAAATATTGTTTCAGAATGTCTTCAGATCTATTGTCAAGTCTTCGATTGGGTACAAATTCGCCTAATAAAATTATTGCGGTGAAAGAAATCAACCACTGTGACAGTTCTTTTATTGTAAGTTCTTTCTTGGGCCACTGGATCAAGCATAAAAATGTTGTAATTATTATATCAACCCATAATTCCTTAAGACACTATCAACTAGTAGGCCTAAAGATGAATTATAATCTACAAAAATATGTAGACGCTGGCACTGTATTATTTTACAATTTAGGGGAAGAAGTTGTCTCAGGCTTAATGAGCAATGAACAGAATACACTACAAAATCACTTTATGAAGTTGCAACAGATGATAGAAAAGTTGCAAGAAATTTCTAGTGTAACTAATATTGTTTTTGATGGAATATCACATTTATTTGATCTTAATTTTTCTCTTAATGATGTGAATAGTTTTAGTAACAATATTATCAAGCTAAGTAGAACCATAGAAAACTCTTGTGTATTATTTCATTGTAATATATCAAGTGAAGATGATGTGACGTATTTAATGGCTAATTTATTATCTCATAAAGCAAACACTGTAATGGAAATAGAAAATTTACCTTCAGGTCTAAGTGCAGATGTATCAGGCCATTTAATAATAAGGTACCCAGGAATGAAATTTGAGGATGAACATATGTTTACACTAGAGCAAAGATCTGTTAAATATTTGTTTAAACTCTTTGATAGAGGAGTAAAATTATTTGCTCCAGGTACAGTCTGATTTTGGAAGTTTTTTGTTTTTATCAAAGTGTAATTTGCATAAATATTGTTAAATAAATTTAAAGTTATATAAAATATGTGTTTTTCCTTACCTACTCTCCTTAATATACAGCTGGGCCACAAGATTTGTGTTTCAAAGATGACCTATGACATTAAACTACCATAATTATAAATCAGCTCGTTTTAAAATAGTTACATTATGTAATAATTTACAATAACCTACAATATAAACTTCCTTACCTCCCTTCCTTAGAGTAGAGTAACATACCTACCAATAAAACTATTTTACACGATTAAAACTGGCGCTCTGACGACGCAATAATAGGTTAGTTGTCTTATCTCATGGTAATACAGGCTATTTTGTTACAAAAATGTATAGTTTGATGTGCTGTTGACTTAGAAATGTAGTTAAATACAGTTCACGCAAATAAGAGTAGGTACATAATTCGGGTTTCATCATGGCTAAATTATTTGAAACAGTGCCACAAAAAGTAATAAGAGATCCCTAATTAATTGCATCTTTTATGTCTTTAATAACGTAGTGAGTGCTACAGGGGCGCATGTAAGTTTTATTTGTGATGATTAGCTGTTGCCCCAGCGACCGCCCAAAGCGAAGGTTGTATTTTGACCAACGCTCAGTCCACGTGAAGACACGAAGGTGAAGACCGTTTCAACCAGTCCGTTATTATGGTCAATTAATTAACGCACTTACAACTTCTGTCAAGTTCTGACTTGACCTCTTCATTTTTTAGAATGATTGATTACTCTTACGCTTTAGTATAAAATTTCCGAGTGATAAAGTTTTCGTATTATCCTCGTGATAGTTTCATGGTGAAAGTGCTATCAAGTTAGTGTGGACTAAACTAGTGATGCCATGACTCAGAGCAATCTGACTACTCCCGACAGGCAGCATGGAGTGCGTACTGTTTCAGAGGAGAAACTTATGGTAAGATTTTTTTTGTACTCTCTGCATTCTTAATTAAGTAACTTACATACCAATTAAGCACCCGATTGAGAACCAGGAATTGCACCGATTCCAAATAATACAATACGAATAACACCCTGTATACTCAAGAGTACGTAAATCAACGTGATTAGCATTCAGCTTACTAACTTAGATGTCTTTTATCGAACATCATCTTCATTTGAGGCCAAAACGACGATATCAACGAACTTCAAGCAAATCTAATTTTTGGCACCATGCCAAGAAGTAAAGATCTCTCGAGCAGGTCCTAAGATTCTCATTTACCTAATTCACTAACAGTTTGGTCATCCAGTAGGACGTATACCTACCTAATTTCAATTAAGTAAATTCAGTCAGCTCTACAATAGCAGATTTCATAAAAAAATAAAACAGGCACCTACCCACTTCCGTTTCATTAGAGAAAAACGTGTTTTAATTAATTAACGATGGTCGATGATAAGGTAGGTAGGTACTTGTTATTTTGGAAATATTAATTTATTAAAGTAGGTATAATTTAACATTGCCAGCAAAATTGGAATTTTGGTTGGTTAAAGATTGTTAAAAATGAGTCTTAAATTAACTTAATACTTGTGGACATAATGTGGTCAGCAAATTTTTTGCAAGTATAGGCCCTCTGATCGATTCAAGGTTTACTGCCTTATCGTGGTCGTTACTACCATTACCATTTACGATTGCGACTACGATAGCGGTAAAAGTTAATTTCAGACAATAATTACACTTTAATTAATCTTAGATATAACACATCTAACTATGACGTACCGTTGATAATGTTAGAACTCTGCTAATCTGTCTGTAGCTACGGAAGATCACTCGTGTCGTATGTGTGATATGACATGACCCCACTCTCTGACACAGGTGGCGGTGCGCGTGCGACCGCTGCGCGCTGATGAAGGTCCCCGCATCGTGCACGTGGTCAGCGATAAGGTGATCCAGTTTTATCGCCTTTTGTATATCTCGCTTAGATAGGACAGGAGATTTGATGAATTTTGGTAGGCAGGTAAGTGTCGCTAGATCTGATGAAATTGTATCGCCAAAAATACAGCACATCAAATTACGTAGGTATACTTACCTACCTAAGCATAAATTGTAAAGCAAGTACTAGTTAAGTTTGTTTATAATAAACTTACATCCTGGGACATGGGCGTAGGTACCTACCTACCTAGTGATTATCTACTGATCATCATTAAAGTCGAAAACTGAGATAGGATTCTCAACTAAGTAGAAACGCTGCACTGTATGGAAATGGAAAATGGTTTTATTGGAATGGGAAAATATTTCTTAATGATCATTATGAAAATAGTGAGTAAGTAGACTTACCTAATACCTACATTACATTACCTACAATATGTAATGGTGCCCGGTCTCTTTTATAATAATCGGGTCACTGTAATAAAATAACCGACTGCAGGAATTAGTAGCTTATTAGTTCACATGACATGCTGTTTCCTGTTCGCTACAAAAAGATTTCAACTTGAATAGTCAAAAAAGCTGGTAAATATTCTAATGAGCGAATAATACAATATTACTTAAATTCACAAAATAGACGACATAGCATCAATATCATCACTCTACTAAAGTAGTACTAAGGGATGCGTTAGTTTTTTTACTTACTTACTATGTGTTTACAATTCAGCATAATATTACTTAAGTATGTTCCTACCTACTGAACATGCTTTATAACCCTATTCTCCGTTTATCCGGATTGTGCTCGTAGTCGTACTATTTTGAGTTTTTAAGATTAACGACAATGATAAGCAACGATTCAAGCTGATGTAGGGGAAAGGAAGCTGAAGTCGCAGTAAAAATCACCTACAGATCGACACGTTTGTATTTTGTTCCTATAATGTTAATAAAATAAAGCGAACAGTATCTAAGTATACTGTGATAATAGTATAGATTTTGCTATGCTGGATGTTGCATTGCACCATAGAAGGTACCTGAGTTAAGTATTTAGGTAGGTACCTATACATGGCAAAATGCATTTAATTCTCTTTTCATAGAATTTAAAAAGACTAAGTAAATAATTTAGTACGGTAGGTATTATGATGATCATAATTATTTATACTTAGGTAAATCAGGTACTATACATATGTTACAGCAGCCAAGTAAGGTCATATGATCATAATGTAACATGGCATTAAACTATTACAAATCCTTTTGCGATCGTTGAATTATGTGTGATCACTGACCAGTGTAGTGGAAGTGTAGTGTGTTATTAATAGATTGTAAACCTAGCTAGGTCACAGCACAGCCATACGCTAGATGCAAACATAGTATGCTCACACGTTAGGATGTTAAATGTCACCGGTGCAATCTGAGGGGGATTTATGAAGGTCATAGAGATTTTATTTTAAAGGTACTTAGAGCATCAAACACGGTCATCACTGAAAATAATCTAAAGCGCCAAGCGGTCTTGAAGTCGTCTTGGTGAAAAACTGGAAATGTACCTACTAAAATTTAGTTAATTCAAAGAGCGAAGTAGATATTCGGTTTGACCAGGTACTTAATTAACACCATTTTACACATTTATATGAATCACGGAATCTTGACAGAAAACTGAAGTCAATCGTTTTGAAGATGAATGTTTTCATTTAAAAGCAATTACTTACATAAAGGGCCTTAGTACCTTGGTACTCAAGTGTTTGAGTTTTCTGAACACAGTAGTTTTGCCTAGTTACATGTTCATTAATTATTATCTGTCAAGAAGGACAAGTAAGTGATTTTATATCTATGTTAAGTACAAAATGAGGACATTGACTTTGATTGTTAACTAGTGGCACCGAAACTGACTTTACCTAAGGTCAAAGCGAGGACAACGCTCGTTTTTTCACTTTGGGATTGAATTAGAATGATTGTTTCTCTGCTGGTGCAGAAAGGTTCGCCGAGACCATTAGAAATAAGTGCTGCGTATGTCTTTTGATGCACAACCTGTCACTGGTTGTTCTGTAAGACTAAGGGGGAGATCTAGCGACACTACGAAGACGTTAGCGAGAAATTCTCAATTCTGATAACGTTAATATTCATAATTGGGTAAAATACAATTACTCACATTAAAAGCAAGCAACCAGGTAAAATGTACGAAATGGTTTTTAGATGTTAGTCCTGGAGGACGAGGCTGACAGCAGGCGAGACGTGCTGCGCCAGCGCCGGCTGAACGAAAAGCACTGCGTGTACGACCGCGTCTTCGGCGAGGATAGCACCCAAGTACGTGGCTACTACTAAGCTATTATTTTAAAGAGACTTGCACTCTATCGAATGTTTATTTTTTTTAAATATTTTGTAAGTCTGCAAATGTAAAGAAATATCTAAACGTAATAAGATCATGTTGTGTAAGTACAGTAATTATCTTCAGTTTGAGTTTGCTTCCCGTTTTTACTTCACTTCTTGGCACATACACAGTGCTATTCATAAATCTTTACTTCCCTAATGCTTGGCATAACGCAAATTCGTCACATTACTCGGACAATGTAGAGTGAGGTGGCACTGAAACGAACGATATGAGTGTCATATTTACTTCGCTATTGCTATTGTTATTTATGAATTGAGCAAATTTTCAGGAATTGATAGATTTACAGGATGTCCATACAGATGACTTTATGATCAATACGCCCTACTCCCGCTCAATTGTGACAAAAAAGTCTTATAAGTTTACGGGAATAACATAATAGAAGTACGGAACATAAAATAATGTGTTCACATTAATTTCGTTTAGGAGGAGGTCTACGACGCCGTGTGTGCCTCGCTCGTAGGCGGCACATTGCAAGGGTTCGCTGGCGCCGTGTTCGCCTACGGTGCCACTGGCGCGGGCAAGACCCACACCATGACCGGCCTCATGTCCCGCGCCCTCAACCACCTATTCACCAGCATAGCTGAAAGTGACAACCCTAAAGCTTATGAGGTAAGTAAAGAAAAAAATGCATTGATTCCACCAATTCATTGGCAGTTGGCGCTTATTTCTCCGCAGATTTTATAAAGGAACCTAGGTACTAATTTGGTCTTAACAATTCAATTCATACAATTAAAAAATAACCATATTTTGTACCTACAAATTAGTTACCTAGTACCTACCTAAAATAATTTAGGTTTTCGGGACTGAAGTATTATTTTAGTACATTGTTCGTTGGCAGTCATGTAATGTAAACCACCCAATTAAATTCGCTTGTCACATGTGAGTTACATCATTGTGAATGCATTTGCATGTTTAAGTAGGTACAATGATATAGTCGTTTCGCTTTCAATTTCACAGTCACGCAGAATAACAACTTTAAAGACAGGTGCTGTCGATATTGGTCGGATAGCTACGGCTATTATGGTTACGGAACAGAAAATTACGTAATCTGCAATTAGTTATACAGTTTTACATCTCTTGACAGACTATAATTAACCTACGTCATTTTCAGTACTATACCTAACTAAAATGATGAATTACTCAAATAAAACTCTTTTTACAGGCCAAAATAATACCTTTTAGTGTTTTACTAACACAATATTAAATACAACATACCTAGTATTTACTGATGTGAACTTTTACGGTCTAAAATTACTGTGGATTTGATGTAGTTATTTCGCATTTAGTGTTTACATTTGAATTTTAGAGAACCGTTGAAATCTTTTTTTCGTTCATTAGCTAATTGAGATTTAACATCATCACCGAAACGATATCCCAATGGTAGAAGTGGATGTGTTTTTGAATGACGTTTTATTTATACAACCGACGTGTTTACTTAAAGCATAGGTACAGTAATTTAATGAGCAAATAGTACCATGCGCAAGTGTATTTGCTGTGATGATTATTGCATTGCAAAACACGTATCATTAATAGAGCACTGGCATAATGTAGCGAATTTTTCAGTAAAATTTCAGTATGATATCGTTTGATATGAACGCAAACTCCACGACATAAATTGCTCCATTAATCCAATCAAAGAAGTCCTTCAAAATTATGTATCTTTCTACGTACATTTTCCAATAGCACCTTACAAAAAGGTTAATAGCATGAATGCTCTGTGAATAGTGGGCTACGGACGGCTTTGTTTGGCCGAAGTCTACTTCCGCCGAGGTCGTCTCCGTGGAAATAGAAAATGACCTTACACCGTTTCTCCTTCCCGACATAGTATGTAATTTCGCGCTTGTCGGGGAGGCGATGAAATATTAATTGGAAATGTGTTGCCTAGAAACCTATATATTTTTTAAATAAAGTTTTTAACGGCCGAATACTGAAACGCCATTTAAATATTTGACGGCTTCTCAAATAGTTAAGCAGCTCCTAAACTTACATTTCGCATACTCAAAACAATATCTGAGCAGTTCTCAATTTTTAAGCACCTCTCAAATTAAGTTGCACTCAGACGCCACTTACATGAATTTTCGCATACTGAAACGCCATTCAACGCTAAGCATTACTCAAACAACTGTCAAATCGTCTTAAGCAGCTGTTAAATTTGAGAGTGCTTGCGCGGTATCTTAAATCCTATTCTTATACCTAAATCGACCTAAATAGTGGTAAATAATGTGTGTCATCGTTATCATTTCTTTCGAGGCTCGAGGAAATACCTAGATCTAATCGCAGGAACGCAATAATACTGAACGCTATTGAAAAATATTATTATAATGACATGCAATTCCGAGCGAGGATCCGCATCTCTAAAGAAACGGTGTTGTGTCTGGATTCATAATTTGGAAGCTCTTTGAAACCCCGCACCAAACGCCATACAACCAGTGGACCAAATACTTATTATAACCCTACTGTTCTACGCAACGGGAAGTTATGAACGTGTACTAGGTGATATCTTCCACATCGAACAGCCAACTGTGCATCGTATAGTGCACAAAGTAACAACCAAAATAGCTGCTATGAAATCGCTTTACATAAACATGCTTATTTCTGAGGAATAATATGGGGACATCGCATAGTAGCATTTCCAAGAGTTGTTGATTTGTCAATTTGATGCTCTCTCTGTCAACAATGATAAATGTCAATTGTGGTTACGTTTCGGTTCACGATCGCCACTTAATAGATTTCAACAATAAAAAGTATCACATTTAAAATTATTTTTTTAATTAAATAAAAATGCAAGCATAAATTTTTTTATATGATAAAACGAGATTTATGTATAATAGAAACTAAAAATAAACTGTTGTATGTTAAGTTGATTGAGTAATATTTCCATAAAAGACAATACATAACCAAACGATGCTGCGTGTAATGGATAAAAAACGTAAAGTTATCATTTGTGTAAATGAAAACATACTTTTTTTGGTAAATGTTGCCATTATGTAAACATTTGAGAGCTGCTTAGCTGATCACGGCTTCAAATCCGTTGAGTGGCGTTTGAGAATACCATTTAAAATTGAAGGATACTTAAATTTAGGAGCCCGTCAGCTGAGTGACAGATTTGAGTAGTGTTTCAGTATTCGGCCGTAAGAGTCTCACAATTTATCAGTTTAATATTATTATGAAGTACTTGATAAACAAAAGTTATACTCGTACTTAGAGATGTTACGCATTTTATCGCGTGGATAGATTGAACCTAGATACACACTAAGGAAAATTGATAGGGCTGTTAAGGTTACTAATATTTGAACTTTAAATAACTAGAATTTGACTTGGTTGGCACAAATGTCAAACGTAGCATGTATGATAACGAGTAGGTAATTATTATTTTTCAACACTGAAGTCTGAAATGGGTATCAATAGGTTCGTCTATTGTCGGATCATATACATATTGTTAACCTTATTTACATCTTCATTAATCTATACAGTACTTATTATTATTCTGTGTCTTAGATACATAATAGGGGAAAGTAGTACGAGATGATCCCCTTAAGCGGGAATCGCTGTAAAATACATATTTTTCAAGGTAAACCAAAAATAAAGACGATTACTCCTAGTATATTTATCTATCCAACTTTTCTTATACTCAAAACCAGAAATTAATTGAGGTTTCATTAAAATATTTCATTTTTTGCAAAACCTTACAAATTGATTATCTTGTACACCCCTGTGGGTAAGATGATCCCCCAGGTAGGGGTAAGATGATCCCTATGATTCTGTTCTATGTCTATTATTTTCTGGTTTTATTCCTTTCGGAGTACCTAATTATGCGAACAAATCGTTAAAAAGTTAGAAAAGAAAAACATTTACGAATTAAATAACGAAAATAACTGATTCTTTCTTAGTACCTGCTAAAAAGCGTTTAAATAATTGAAACGCTTTTTGGCTGGAGCTTTGTTGAATATATCACAAATAAATTCACCTGCTTCATCACCCTCTACCCCAGCACATGCTTTATGGCCCCATTTTCCACATGCATAACATTTTATCCATCCTTCACCCTTGGTATCGCTTGAAAACTTTTCTGTTCAGTACAGCCACTCAGTATCATCTCCTTCAGACTCAGGTGAGTTATATGAAGTTCTCTTTCTTTTATTTCACTTCCCTTTACCTACTCCATTGACTTTTTTGTTTTAATTCCCAGGGATCATCTCGTACATATAGGAAGGGATCATCTTGACCCAAGTCCCACTTTTTGTTAAATATTTGCTAAAATAATCTACAAGTACGCGGCTACGTTTTTATGGCCAAAATATTAAAATTAAACATAATAGAAAGCCTAACGACAACAGTAATTACATTTAACATTGTTTGAATAAAAGTAACATAAGCTCAAAGTCATGCCTATTTTAGATCAGAAGTACACAATTTTTCTTTTTTGTCGTCAAATTCGATGTATCGCTCACGCCACCATTACGATTTGACTGAGGCGGGGATGTGTCCAGAGCTATGTTTTACCAGTGAAAGAAACTAAATGACGTTAGTGGTTTCAGCACAATCGCGAAAGATCATCTTACCCCAGGGGATCAACTCGTACTACTTTCCCCTAAATCTGTAGAGAGATCAATTCTGTACATGAAATATATTTTCTAAATAACTATCAGGGGGTGATTAGTGATCGATACTGATGCCAAAAATGCAATCACTAAAATTTTTGTCTGTCTGTCAGTCTGTCTGTCTGTATGTCTGTCTGTCTGTCTGTATGTCTGTCTGTCTGTATGTTCCTTATAGAAACAAAAACTACTCGACGGATTTTAATGAAACTTGGTACAATTATTCTTCATACTCCTGGGCAGGTAATAGTATACTTAGGAATTCCCACGGGAACGCTCGAACGGGAATTAGCGGGAAAATCCTTTTGTATGAAAAAATCTAAACCGCGTAAGATAGACGCTTGAAATTCGGCATGCAGGTACCTTAGTAAACTTAAAGCTTAGTTACAAGAGAATATTGCAAAATTCTCACGGGAACGGGAGTTAAGAGAGCTAAACCGCGTAAGATAGATGAAGGGGGTAAAACGGGATCCACGCGTACGAAGTCGCGTAGTCACAGTCGGCCGCTAATTTATCATAATATCATTATAAATAAAATATCACAGCATGTTTAGGTAGTGAAGCTGAAAGTCAAGGTCTAGTAGATTACATAAGATCTTATCAGATGCAAAGTAGCTCTATAATGGAAGAAAAAGTGTTATCATCATGCTCTTATCACTCTTGTGCGTGACTGATTCTCAGGGTCATCATAATCTTAATAAAAATGCTCGATAGAACATCACCAGACAACTCCTTCGCAAAATATAGTAGGTACCTATGGTTACGTCAAAACTTAATATTTATATTCGTTTTTGTATTTTGGGTTCTTTATACTTTTCATTTTAGCAACTAAATAAGTAATACCTACCTAAACTTATTATATTTTATTTTCAACGATTAGATATGGAATAATCATTTCCGATCTTTTTAAAATTCTAATTCAATTATAATAAGATAGTAGATTGATTGGGGATTATAACTTTTAGTAACGCGAAATCGAAATATGTTATTTACGCTAAATAATGTCGTTGTACCAAGGATATAACTAATACGTGATGTATGAAGCCTTGTTTTGTGTGGTGTTTCAATGTTTAGCAAACATAAATATTAGCAAAAAGCACGACACATTTATTAGCTGAAAACTAGAACAGCATCCAAGTTACATCAGTTCACGCAACACACGCGGTTAAAAGCTAGAATGAGCTAGTACCGCGCGTGTTGATTTCTATTTTAAGATTTTCAGCACCCATGAAATTCTCAAACCATTATTACTTACGGCATATTTGTAGAGCTACATGTAGGTAATACGCTACTATAAATCACTAGCCGACTCAGTCTCGTCATTTGCAAAAGTTTTTAAATGGATTTTTATTTAATAGGTCATACGAGCGGTTTAAAACTAAAACGATGTCAATTACAATTTTTATCATCGACCCCACTGCTTAATTATTCGGTGCCATATTAATTGCTAAAACAGAGCGCTAAATCTACGGGGTTTTATGTAAATTTAACTGTAGACCTTGACCTACCGGAATTGCCTCTACTTAATTCCATATGCATATTTACGAGCGTTGGATATTGCAAAGCCTATAGTTTGAAGAAAACGTATATGTACGAGTATAGCTAATAAGCAGCGGAATCTATGTTACCTCCGTAGGTAATGAACAAGTGAGTTCCATACATAAATATGTTAATATTGTGCTATGAATGTCTTTAATATTTTATGTAGTTAAGTAACATTTGTTTGCCTTTGTATTACTAGCTAGTTACTTATTACTAGCAACTTCTTTCATATAAGATTAAGCAGTTAAACCTTCTCTGTCATATAAGATTTTAAACTTTCGCTCTCTTTCAAATGAAAACAAGAAACAAAACTAATTTAGGACCTACTATGCGATTAAAACGGAAAAAGAGCAAAATTTACTGTGGCAGTTGGTACTTATCAGTTTTCAGGGACAAAGTCTTTCTTTGTGAGTATTAAGGAAGTTGGTAAAAACAACATTATTTAATTTTACGGAATACACAAAGATATCAGGGTAATTATTATTTGCTTGCGTGAACAAACCCTGAAACTTTTAGGTCAATGGCTTGTCTTGTAGGACAATGGCTGTCAACTGTCAAATGTGTCTGGGAGGAGGTGGTTCCTCCCTTGTACCACCACCGCAAGGTCACTGTCGGCACGCGGCCCTCGCGTGATTGACGCCGGGACTACCATCAGGGTATTGAGCGTCTTTTCGCCTCGTCATTAGCGCTTTTACGGTGAAGTATGCCATTTACAAACACCATTGTATTAAGGACAAAACTTTTGTGGTAATTAAACGGACTCAGTCATCAGTCAGTGCCCTATTAGGCTCTATTGAATACATCGACCTAATGAACTGAACGTCGTGTTTATTTAATTGTATTGATTACTTGATATTGAGTGATTAAAAGTTACGAGCCTATTTTGGCCGTCAAGTTAATATTTAAAATATGTCTTTGAAAAAAAAAGTTTAAAAAAGTTTCGCAATCAGTACAATATTTTTACAATTTAAATTCAAAGTTTCAAGCTCCTAAAGCACAAAAAAGATATGGATGCAATGCAAAGTTAAATTGTATCCCTTATTGGAACGTGAAGAAGTATTTTAAGATCAGTGTTGAAACACTTGAATATTGTGATCCTTTGACGTAACAGAAATACCCTATTTGATTGGAAGAGGGGCGTTAAAATTTAAGTAAGGCATTCACGGCTGACGCGAGTAGTGACTGCGGCGCGACAGCTATAACCTTTACCCGGGCACGCCAACCTCACACCCCCCGTAAGTGATGGTGCCGTAATAATGCTGAACTTCAATTTAGAAACCTCATTGAAAAATCAATAGTCTAAATACATACCTACATACCATCAAAGATTATCATGTGCTTTACATGTGTGCTACACATGATTTCGTCATCGTCACTTATTAGGCGTATCTCATTTTATTTACGTTAAGAGATAGCAACGATTCAATTATTATGGATAAGAATAAACGAATTACCTAATTATTAAATAAAAATAGTGTGATAAATTCAGTTACGTACAAAAATTAATACACATGCCATTTATGGGTACCTACATTGCGAAAATTACCTGTTTTTGAAAGAAAGAAAGAAAAAACATTTATTCAGTATCATCATCACATATTATTGTAATAAACAACAAAATTTTCAATATTTATAAATATTATATTCACGTATTATTACGATAGGTACTGAAAAGGTATCCATTCAGCATGGTTTCATAGCATCTCAGTGATGCTACGACGCTGTTCTTTCGTAGATCTTTCGTTTTTCTTCAGTCAAAGATATAGAGACTTGTCATAATTTACTGGCAGCTCAACAAATACAGTTTTTTTCAAAATTAGGCATACGCAAATTAAATTTATCAAGAAAGTATATACATAATAAGTACCTACTAAATAGTGATTTGTTATATCAATAACGTAGATAGTGAGGAGTGTTGTATTCAGCCGACATTTTGATAGCGCGATAACGTCGGCGATTAAGGCTTCGCGCGGCCACGAGCGCCCGATAACATCCTGCGGCACCGACCATTACTTACAGTAATCCTGGCTGCACAGCCATAAACCCGACCGACTTATGGAAATGAAATCGCAATGCACCAGCCCATTTCACAACTCCTTCAAAAGTAATTATTTTCAGCCGCATTACTCGAACAATACCCACTTGACGTAGTTGTAGATCAGGAAGTCATTTTCTAAGTGTACTTAAGTAATAGACTCATTACCTACTGTTGTTGTATACGTGTTTTCCATAATAATAGGATGAGGACATTACGAAAATTAAAGGTGTTTCCGGAGTTGACCTTAGCTGATGTTTGACAACATGGACCAATAATTACAAGGCACATTTTTTGAATTTAATAAACATCAATTTGGTTGGTGAAAAAGATCTTTATTGAGAGAATTATATTACCATATACCTATCTAAATAAAATTGTCTTTTGGGAGATCATTTATGAGATTACAATCAGATACAGTTAATGATACAAGTTGACATTCAAGACCTAATTAAGGATATTTAAAATATTAAACCATTATTGTTTTTCGATTCAACACCTTTACTATCTTCTTAACAAATTCTAAACCTTCTTCGCAACATTAACCCAATTTTTATGAACTCCATTCAAGGCTGTTGAACTGAAACTCATGCTGGTGTTATTAGTCACTCAACACCTCATCGCAAGTCACCGTTTTCAAGTAACCTTTGCATTTGAATGAAATCGTGCCTTTTTGATAAAGGCGTCTATTGTAGTGCAAACACAGCCGATTGCGTCTGCCAATGAGCCATGTGTTTTTTAAACAATCCTTGTTTGAAAGCCTAATACGTCATGCTCACCGTCATAACAAATACAAAAAGGGACAATAATGAAAAACTTTTCTTTTCTAATGTTATATTATTGCTGTATCTTGCGACGGTCTTTCTTCGTTTTTAAATGTGTAGCAAAATGTTGTATGGTCTTCAGTTGTAAATAACTAATAAATATTTCACATTATATTATTTAATATGCACCGTATCATAGTTAACTACCAAGAGTTTTCTCGATGATTTAAGGAGAATACTAAATCTTAAAAAACCGTATTGAGTTTTCTTTTTACAGTAAATAAGTAAACCCGTTCATTGTAGTAATTTGTTGCAAAATTGGGGTAGTGGAATGCGGAAGTTACAAAGTAGGTAGTAGTATATTGACGAACTCCTTACAAGAGGTCAAAACGGTCACTCGTATTCTCTTTCTTAAGTCAATTGACTGAATAATTAATTGATTACAAAGCAATAAAACGTGTTTTCCTTTCTAACAGAATTTTATATTATGTACCAGTTTGTTTAAGCCTCGTTTAAAACCTTCTTTTGTGATAAATGCTGTTAATATTTTTTACTTGAAACTGAACAAGTCTAATAATTAAGAGCTTTAATATAATTTTAAAATAAAAAGGTTTATTTAAGGCATTCACGGTCACCGCATACGATTACTAGTGGAAGCTTACACTCGTGGATTTCCTACACATTCTTAGCGTACCGTGCATTTGTTTTATGTAAAATAGCTCGTATGAAATGAATAGGCGCTGTTTGAGGATATCGTATTGGTATACCTACCAGTACAAGTATATACTCGTGGAAATGTGTGTTTTTTATTGCTGTCGATTGCAATCAATCATTGATCTGTACGCTGTTATTATCAGTCGATTAGAATGGTCATGTAAAGCTTCCAGTACAAATGTTGCTACAGTTCTAGGTAAAACATCAACAAAGGTAGGTAGGTAAATACACGTATATCCCATTAGCGTTAAACATTTTTTATTCATAGTCATGGACTTGATGTCCCAGCCCAAATGGATGTTTGCTCTACGTCGAAGTGTGTGGAAATGAGGAATCAATAAGCGAGGGGAGGACTTCTAAACAAGCTCGCCGTAACGAGCTGCCCAGCGATCGCTAATGATGTTTAAAGTCAGAGGGTATTTCTCTTAAATATTAGCTCGTACATGTAAAAATTCGGAATTAAGTGTTGGAACCTTAAGATTAATGTGAATGAAGTACGAGAATTATGCTTTTACATTAGCGGAAATAGTTTAGGTATTTCTGTAAACACATTTTACGAGCACAAAAAAATTGTTAAACCTACGTCAAAATACCACTGGATAAATCTCATTGACTGTACCTAATTATAAATCCAATTCAAAGAAAGATAAGCTTCCGTTGACCTTTAATAAACATGTTAAGAGATAAGTAAGATAATAGTGGACACGCCTCCACGATTGTTGCTACCCACCGATAAATCCAGAGGCTAGGTAAGTCCTAGTAAAATAAAGCTGTGCTTGCCTCAAGCTTTTAACATTGACTCTTGTCTTAGGTGAAGATGTCATACATAGAAATCTACAATGAGAACATTCGCGATTTGCTGAACCCGAGTGCGGGTCCTTTGGAGCTGCGGGACGAAGGCGGCAGCGGCGCGCCCGTCGTGGCGGGCCTGAGCGAGGTGCGCGCCACCAGCGCCGCGCACGTCAGCGAGCTGTTGACGAGGGGAGACCGCGCGCGCACCGCCGAACCCACGCACGCCAACGAACATTCGTCAAGGGGCCACGCGCTGCTGAGGTGAGGATGACAAGACAATATTCTAATGAGGGCTATCGGTTTAGCGCTCACCAGCAAGCGCCACTGTAGAGTAAGGTCCGTCACTTGCTAGTAGCGAAGACAGTGGCACCAACTGGTGAGCGCTAAAGTGGTAGGAGGACTATCGCATTTGCACTAATCAAGATGGCGCCACTGTAGAGTAAGGTCCTGTCAATCGCCAGGGGTGCCAACTGTTAAGTATAAAAACGATAGCCCTCATTGACAAATACAAAAAAAAAAAAATAGGTACACCTGAAGCTAGCCCGTTCTTCTTCTTCTTCTTTTTTGATGTTGGCAATACACGAGGCCGACTTGATTTGTGTCATTTTCAAGTTTCAAGTGAGACGAGTTACAAAATGGGACCAAGTGGGAAGGGACTTGGTTTAAATAATGATATAATGAAGGATGATAGATGATACCCCTTCCCACCCTTTGAGTTCATATGAACTACTTGAGAGAATCCGAAGAATCACGCTGCGCTGTTTTGTTTTATTTGCTAAAGATGAATTTTAGAAAATAAAACAAAACCGCTAACATGACGCTTCACATTCCCACCAAGAAGTCCGTTAGCCCGTTTCCAGCTGCGATCCCAATATGTTGCCACTGGTTTAGAATGTTTCGATTTTTAAACGACAATTTTTTCACAATTTTTTCATCCGCGATCCCGTCTCGATAACACAAGCGGGCTGCTACGACTTTGGTTTCGTAGCGTTCTCTCGCTACGGAATGACGCTCGTAGCAGCTCCATTAGTGACCGACCGAATATTCGTTTTCGTTTTCGTTTTCGGCCATTTTCGGCCAAAAAATGGTCATTCGGCCATATTTTCGTTTTCGGCCAAAAACCAGCCGAAGCTTCGGTCAAACCGAATATCAGAAATTCGTGAATAAGATGGTGACATTTATCGTTCCGATATCTTCGGGAGTGAATCTGGTGCACTCATGGTTCCAATCAGACTTGAACGGACGCGGTATTGTCACACTCTTTTGAAGTTGTGAAGTGAGGTTACGTTGTAAAGGGTGTCCAGCTAGAATTTTCCAAGTTCAAAATTGAATACAAATAAAACCAAAGAGTTTTCAGTAAGTTTAATTGTTTCAAAATAGCACTTCCCAATATTTCAATATACACCGGAAATACTATTCTACTAAGAATTCATGATTAATTTTTTTGTGTTTTAATGCCGGTTTTCTTTAATCAATCTTTATAAAAATCAACTGTCAAACGTCATTATGTTTTTGGTCAAAACATTAACGGTTTCAAAGTTTTTACATAATTTCAGATTGAAATTTGAGAGTTGAAGGTCATTTTCGTTTTCGTTTTCGTTTTCGGCCGAAAATGAGACTGCAGCCGAAGCTTCGTTTTCGTTTCCGTTTTCGGCTGAAAATCCATATTCGGTCGGACACTAAGCTCCATGCTTCATTCGTAGCAAACTCCCGAATCTGAGACTGGCGGTAGCGCGCCGGGTCTGGAGTGTGCTACGACGTCTACGAACCGTAGCAGGGCTCTACGCGCTACGAGTACCAGACTAGCTTCTATAAAGTTTTTATCTTCTCATATTTGACGATACTGAGACAAAAAAATATTTGCCACATTCCTTTGCGCAAATAAGGATGTAGTATAATAATATTAATATGTTAAGCTGCAGCCTATTTATAATTACCTACTTTTTTTTGCCTTTTGGCATTTCAAATTCGTTCTGGTTCTGGATTCGTTCGTGGTTGAGTGGAGGCCGCGTACCGGAAAACGCAGCGTGGGACGTCCACCCTCAAGGTGGACCGACGACATCATAAAGGTAGCAGGAAAGCGCTGGACGCAGGCCGCTACCAACCGGGTAACATGGAAAGAATTGGGGGAGGCCTATGTTCAGCAGTGGACGTCCTATGGCTGAGATGATGATGATGATTTCAAATTCGTAGTTTACCATATCCACCTGGACATGTTTGTTTCGGCGTTTCTTCTCAGCACTTGCCATATGTTTGTCTCGAGGCGCTGGTAGGGCCCAAAAGATAAGGAGACATGTAAAGTGCTCCATAAGGGCTACTTTTTTTATTTACTGTATTTTGACGTTCATAAGTGCCACTAGGGTTCTTACTTCTTTTTTTGCTCAATAATAAAGTAACTTCTAAATATTAGTATGTTAATTATTAGCATGTTTATTAGTTTTATTGTTAATTTTGTGTATAGTAAGAAATAAAAGGCTTTTTTATTTTATTTATTATTATTTATAAGTGCCACTAGTGGTCTAAATTGAATAAAATATTTTTGATTTTGATTTTGTTTTTTGACAGTGTGACGGTGAGCATCCAGGTGGAAGGCGGCGTGCAGCGCGGGCGGCTGTTCCTGATCGACCTGGCGGGCTCGGAGCGCGCGGGGCTGCGCGCGCGCCGGCTCGAAGGCGCGCACATTAACCGCTCGCTGCTGGCGCTGGGAAACTGCATAATGGCACTCTCGGGGGGAGCTAGGTATGTACGGTCAACAGCACGTCAACTTGTGGCGGAGTTTTGGGCTGACACTGTGTAGGTTTGTTGTCGACACGAAAATAAGAAGCACGTTAACGTAAACACTGAGGTATCTTACGTAGTTGCGATACGGGCGACTTTGCAACGAAAATGTATAGCTTGATGTGCTGTCGACTGCAGGGCCGCGCCGACCGCCGGCAGCGCCTGTGTGCGGAACCTATAAAGCGCCTCTTTTCTAATGAATCGTCATAAAAAAACGAATTTAAATTATTTTTAACGAATATTTTAATTGTTAATTTTGACTAAAATAAATGTTCTTCAGTTTTACAGTAGGTACTTAGATAATATTATCATAAGTGTATTAAAACTGAAAACCACTTAGAAATTAGGATACTAAATAGGTAAATCCCGTTCGTTCTGCTTGCCAATTACTACGAAAAAGAAAACTCGAACTAAATTTTTACATGCTTAATACAAAGAATTGTATATTTAAATATTAATAACAAAGAAGCTTACTTGTTTCTAATCATAATAATACTAATATGACTATTACGTACCTACCTATGCTATGTAAAAACAGCAAGAGTCTAACTTTTTTTTTATATTAGTGCTACTGAAATGCACTTGCAACTGGTGCTAACAAGAATACTTTAATCATACTTAAATTATAATACAGGGTGTTTGGCGGAAGATTAGACATACTTCGTGGGTGTATAGGTAAGGTCATTTTAAGAATACAAGTTCGCCCATTTTACCCTAAGTGGGCTATTTTTTTAAATTTATATTTTTGTTTTAATTTAATTTTTTTTCAAAATAACTACCAGGGGGTGATTAGTGATCGACACTGATGCCAAAAATGCAATCAGTAAAATTTTTGTCTGTCTGTCTGTATGTTCCTTATAGAAACAAAAACTACTCGACGGATTTTAACGAACTTTGGTACAATTATTCTTCATACTCCTGGGCAGGTTATAGTATACTTAGGAATTCCCACGGAAACGGGAATTAGCGGGAAAATCCTTTTGTATAAAAAATCAAAACCGCTTAACCGCTTTTTGGCAAGCAGGTACCTTAGTAAACTTAAAGCTTAGTTACAACAGGATATTGCAAAATTCCCACGGGAGTAGGCGGGAAAAAACATATGTATGAAAAAATCTAAACCGCGTAAGATAGATGAAGGGGGTAAAACGGGATCCACGCGTACGAAGTCGCGGGCGGCCGCTAGTGTAAACTAAACTAAAACCCTAAGCGTAAAATGAAACCATAAACGTGAATCATAATAAACACATAAATATTGAGAGACTTGTTTAATAAGCGTAATATTTGTTTTGTTGCGCTTGCGCATACTGTACCTACTTACTTATCGATATGTACTCCATTTAAAAAAAATAGGTGGCAGTAGCGGCGCGGCGCCCCTATTGTCTTGGCGCCTGTGTGCGCCGCACACATCGCACACAGGGGCGGCGCGGCCCTGGTCGACTGTACAAAGTTATCATGTGTATTTCTTAAAAAAAAACTAGGGACTTTCGAGTAATAAAGTTATAGTTTCAGAGGAGGAAGATTGAAAAACGGACATTTTTTTTTATCAAAGTACCTACATTATTCTCTAAATACATATTATTATAATAATATTATTTGATAATTTTCTTCAGTAAGTTCTAATGACATAGGCATGGTATTAGTACTTAAAGAGTTGCTTTAGACTTTAGAAGTATGCAACGAATTGATAAAAAACAACAATATATAAAATGTCTATCAGAAGATAGGTACAAATTCCAAACATAAAATGGCGTGATTTTATACTTACATTGCATGACGATCCATCACGTGATAGTAATAGGGCACACTATTACCGTGACTCATCTGAACAATGAAACATGAGGGAAAAGAATCCACTAAATAAAACACCTACCATCACGTGGTGGCAGTAAACATCACTTCATTATTTTGATATCTAATTTATAATGCATGGGCGTCCCATCACATGCGTGTTAAAGCGCCACAATAGAGACATTTGAATCAAATGTTTATTGACTGTGACTATAATCAAATCATTTTTCCACGGTTAATCGTGACAAAACTTTCGTGGTAGAACGGTAAAGCTCTTAAAAGTTCACGGGTTTTGGTTTGGTTCTAGATACGTAAACTACCGTGACTCGAAGCTGACGCGTTTGCTAAGAGAGGTGTTGGGCGGCCGATGTCGGACGGCCATGGTGGCCCACGTGGCGCCGGGCGCCGCGCACAGGGAGACCACTCGCTCGACGTTGCACTACGCGCAGCGTGCTTCTTCTATTACTAATAGGGTAAATTATAATCTGTAACATACTAACGTCATCGTTTGCCACCTCGTAAAATGGATAGTTTATAATGTAAGCGTCAATTTCCAGGTAGAACGTGAGTTGATAGAGACTCCAATGCACATGTCTCAATATCGCACAGTCATCACCGAGTTGCGAGAAGAGATCTCTCGGCTCAAGTCTAAGATGAAAGACGACCGTTCAAGGTAGCTGTGCATTAAGTCTTTATTATTTAACAGTTATCGAAATTAGATCATGTACCTATAATAATAAATTGTTCTAATTTAACAGATCAAAAGAGGATCTAATGAGTCAGCACAAAGAAGAAGAGCTCACAAAAGAGCAAAGCGAAGAAAGCGCAGCTCATCTAAAGAATTTGCGCGACGCAATTGTGTCTACTTTCAAGCAACAGATGCGCCTGCGGCGACGTCTGATGGAGCTCGACAGCCATTTGTTGGGCTTAGCGCTGGACGCTGAAAGACAGCACGCGACTATTTCTCACTGGGAAGCGAGGTTCAATCGGCTGTACAAGCCAATTAGCTTGTCTGGATCACGATTAAGCACCCAGCAAAGTTATAGGTACGCACACGAATTTCTGGCAGATGTGGTAGTCATGTGGACGGTAAACTGAGACAGTTAAGAGAAGAGATATGTAAAACTTTATCAGGAATCAGTGTTATCCTTTAGCTAATTAAGTTTGTTTTTTTTCAGAGGTGGTACTGGCATGTCGACAAGCGGCAGCGAGCGCGCCGAGGCCGAGGTGGCCGTGGAGCAGGCGTGGGCGGAGCTGGCGGCCGTGGAGCGCGAGCAGGAGGCGGCGCGCTCCGAGCGCGACCGCGTCGAGCGCCAGCTCGAGCAAGTGCGCTTGCGAGGCGCGCAGCTGGAGCAGGTAACAAATATGTATTTATTTCTTTAAAGACTTTATTGCATACACATAAAATGATCGGTACAAAAAGGCCAGCTTAATGCCATTGGCATTCTCTTCCAGCTGACCATGGGCAAAACAAAGAATTTGAGTAAGTGGTGCTAAATAGTTTACGACATATTGCCTGTTTTCACCTAATTTTTAAGTGTGGTAACATATAACAGGAATTTTGATTTCATAGGGGCCACTTAAAAATTAGGGATTAATGGTGAAAACGAGCAGATAAGTACTCGTAATGCTTCATGATATCACCATTCTGAATCCAGTAACCTACCTTCTCTTATACGAAATCTGCAGCACTAGAAAACCGATCACCTATACTTACTTTCATTTGAAATAAAAATGTGACCTTGTTCAACCATGTTATTAACGGCTTCTAATATTTAAAGCGACACTTAACCTTTTAAAATGGCTATGAAAAATTATACAATATTTACCAACATGTTACACCAACCCTATCTTGACATCTTGAAGGGTGCCAAGCATGTAAATTGAAAGCTTTTAACAAATAAAAGTCAGGTAAATCTTAATGAAGAAAAATTACTTAATCGCCCTACCTAAGTACTTAAGAAACTAACAGGTTTTTTTTTTCAAAATACACGTGCTAGCTTGTTAGGACAATGTAATAAGTAAAACATAGCAGGACAATGTAATAGGTAATCAGACTTCGCAGGCGAATTGCCTAGTCCTACTACCGTTATCGAGTCTTTGGAATACTTGCTTTGCAGCTATTCATTCAGTGTAGCTTGCTATACACTTGTAGTATTTTGTAAATTGTTGAAACTTCGCTGCTTTCGATACCGAACAGGTAGCTCTATGAATTTGTTGTGACTCTTCTTTTAAGTAATTTGGTACAAAATATCCGTTAAGTTTTTTTAACCACAGCGAGGAAGCTCTTGGCCTCTCACCTGATGGTAAGTGACGATCAGGCCGAAGGTGGAAGCGAGCTTCACCCGGAATCCTCAACCACGGAGGAACTGGCTATTACCTCTAACTGCTGGAACACAACAATGCTGTTAACATTGTTGTTATGGCTAAGTTAAAAAGATTTGACGATTTCTTCTAAAAATATAAACCATTTCTTTTTTTTTATTTCGAAGTTCAAACTACTATTCAACGCGTGTTAAACTATAAATTCATTGGTCGCATAGGAGCTGCCCGCGCGCATCAGCAGCGGGCCGGAGCGAGAGGTTCTGGCGCTGGTGTGCCGCGTGCACGAGCTGGAAGCGGACAAGCTGGCGCTGCAGGGCGAGCGGGCTGCGCGCGCGCACGAGCTGCGGCGCCGCGACCTCGCGCTGCAGCGCCGCGACGCGCAGCGACGACTCTCCGACGAGATCATCACGCGCCAGCGGCGGGCGCTTGAAGGTTGCCTTTTACACAAACTACAAGTACTTCTCTATGTAAGGCAGAGTCGACAGCTCGTTAGCCAATACAATGTAAATGGAGGCGGACAAGCTGGCGCTGCAGGGCGAGAGGGCTGCGCGCGCGCACGAGCTGCGGCGCCGCGACCTCGCGCTGCAGCGCCGCGACGCGCAGCGACGACTCTCCGACGAGATCATCACGCGCCAGCGGCGGGCGCTTGAAGGTTGCCTTTTACACAAACTACAAGTACTTCTCTATGTTAGTTATAGTCGACAGCTCGTTAGACAATACAATGTAAATGGAGGCGGACAAGCTGGCGCTGCAGGGCGAGAGGGCTGCGCGCGCGCACGAGCTGCGGCGCCGCGACCTCGCGCTGCAGCGCCGCGACGCGCAGCGACGACTCTCCGACGAGATCATCACGCGCCAGCGGCGGGCGCTTGAAGGTTGCCTTTTATACAAACTACAAGTACTTCTCTATGTTAGGCAGAGTCGACAGCCCGTTAGACAATACAATGTAAATGGAGGCGGACAAGCTGGCGCTGCAGGGCGAGAGGGCTGCGCGCGCGCACGAGCTGCGGCGCCGCGACGACTCTCCGACGAGATCATCACGCGCCAGCGGCGGGCGCTTGAAGGTTGCTTTTCATATAAACTACAAGTACTTCTCTATGTTAGGCAGAGTCGACAGCTCGTTAGACAATACAATGTAAATGGAGGCGGACAAGCTGGCGCTGCAGGGCGAGAGGGCTGCGCGCGCGCACGAGCTGCGGCGCCGCGACCTCGCGCTGCAGCGCCGCGACGCGCAGCGACGACTCTCCGACGAGATCATCACGCGCCAGCGGCGGGCGCTTGAAGGTTGCCTTTTATACAAACTACAAGTACCTACTTCTCTATGTAAGGCAGAGTCGAGAGCACGTTACACTATACAATGTAAATGGAGGCGGACAAGCTGGCGCTGCAGGGCGAGAGGGCTGCGCGCGCGCACGAGCTGCGGCGCCGCGACCTCGCGCTGCAGCGCCGCGACGCGCAGCGACAACTCTCCGACGAGATCATTACGCGCCAGCGGCGGGCGCTTGAAGGTTGCCTTTTACACAAACTACAAGTACTTCTCTATGTTAGGCAGAGTCGACAGCTCGTTAGACAATACAATGTAAATGGAGGCGGACAAGCTGGCGCTGCAGGGCGAGAGGGCTGCGCGCGCGCATGAGCTGAGGCGCCGCGACCTCGCGCTGCAGCGCTGCGACGCGCAGCGACGACTCTCCGACGAAATCATCACGCGCCAGCGGCGGGCGCTTGAAGGTTGCCTTATAAATAAACTACAGACGACAAATCAAGCTAAAACTCTTTAGTTCTGATGTAGCTATAATAAAAGCAACTACTTACTAACTATGCAACAAAAATGGGTAGTCTGATGTGCCGATGACTATTAAGAAGGTACAGTCGACTTTACAACATCGTTTCAAAGTCACTACATATGCTATAGCCTGGTGAGCGGTTTCTCTTCTACAACTAGACTTGCAGTGCTGAACTCTGAGATATTCGAGAGTCCGAGTTGTGGTCGAATAGTTGAAAAATACTAATTTCGTGAATATTTACGTGCTTGCTTCTAAGTTCGAAGTTATTTAGGATTTCTAGTAAAGAATTCATTCTGTGTCTTTTTCTTGCACATGTATGAGTAAGTTGTATGTTTTTTTACAGAAATGAGCATTGGTATACCTCCTGAGCTTGGACAATTATATGAGCTGTACCAACAAGAGATCCACGCCTCTACGTACACAGAGAGTAACGACGTATACACGCCCACCTACAGGCTTCCGCCTATCTCAACAAGGTAGGTAAATAGCAGTAAGTGCATAGGTACAATAGTACAATTAGTGTTATTTCACGAGCAGCTGAAAGAATGTGCATTTCATGTTACATGGACCAAGAATAATGAGTATTGTTATTTTTTAGAGTTATTTTTTCAAAACGAATACAATAACATAAACTTCAACAAAATCGTTGAAACATAACAAAATAAAGTCACACACACATAACGACGATGAAGCACAATACCCCTATGACAAAAGGAAATCTTAAGAAAATATTAGTCTGTCATTAGTAAAGACAGAATATTTCCCGAGCTCAGAAAGCGTCTTTACCTCATATATTTGATGAGGGAATTTCCTTTATGTACTATTGAATGTTGACTGTGCCCACCAGTGACGAATGTTCTTTGTGGTGTTGTAGCATGTCGGAGCTGGCGTGGTCGGAGAGCTCGAGCGGGTCGGGCGGCACGCTCGCCTTATTTGCATAGTGCAAAATTATGTTTTTTGCATAGTGCAAAATTGTGCTTATTTGCATATCGTGCTCGGCACTTTGCCGAGTGCTCCATTATCGAATGCTTAAAAAAATGCCTAATGCCTAATGCCTAATAACATATATTTCGAAGATGATATTGCAGATTTTGCAATGTATTTATCATCATTTAATATTAATAACAATTACTGTGGTTTAACTACATACTTAATCGATTACAACAAAGCTACGAGACTACGATATGTCGTTGACTGTGCCCACCAGTGACGATTGTTCTTTGTGGTGTTGTAGCATGTCGGAGCTGGCGTGGTCGGAGAGCTCGAGCGGGTCGGGGCGCGGCTCGAGCTCGGGCTCGGGCGGCACGCTCGCCTTCGAGCGCCTGCCGCGTCTGGCGCCCACGCCCCGCCCAAGGACCAGATACAGGTTCATTGGCATTACCACAGATAAATGGATTAGAGTAGATACAGCAAGTTGATCGTCAAAGCGTGTCATTCCGATATGTCCAAATGGACATACATGGTTGATGTTCACGTAATCCGATTACAACAATCGGTTACGATGATTTTACGAGGACAGTAGTACGAACACGGTAGAAAGAAGAAATTATTTACGGATTGAGAATTGTAATTAACAGCACAAGTAACAAATAATTAATTAGAATAAAGTAGCAGTAGAAGAAGTATAAAGTAGCATTGTTTTTAATACATATCCTGCGATGTACTCTTAAGAGTTAAAACCATGGTCCCTGTATGTGGTGCACTCATACCGATCCCAAGGAACCGTACTTACTCATAACAATAAGACACACACTGATGCATGTATTCATGCACTTGACAAATTTATGTCTTGAAACGCTGGTAGGGTAAAAAAAATAACGAGATTTGACGATTTGTAAGAATTAATTTATTTTAAAAAGGTAAATAAAGATGTTTTTGGTTTTGTATTTAACAAATTATCAGTTTTATCGGAATTAATTAATTTTCGAATCGAGTCACACGATATCATTCGATGACTTTGCAAATGCAGTACGATGATACGATTACTTTTACGTTGCGGCAATCACTAAAATTCGCTAAAATGACACTAATGACGTTTAAAAAGTGGCACGCTCGGCTTCATACAATTTTTGACACATGCTGCATCTATCCATATTTTGTGGGCATTACAAAATAAATCATTTCGCCTCGCTAAACTATCTTACGGACATTTGACGCTTATAATATTGTGCTTACATTATAATCTATGCTGATATTTGGCGAATTGATGAACTAATTTTCTTATTGGTTATTGTGCCTTCATGAAAGACATTGTTACTTTTTGTCGCAAAAATATTGATGAAGGGGTGAAAATTTTTTATACGAATATGAAAATTCATACGTTCGTTCGTTCGTTCGTTTCAGCCGAAAGACGTCCACTGCTGGACTACGTTCATACGTACTAAGTACCTATTAAGTTTTTGTTAAGAAAGAAAGAATTTCAAAATACAATGTACTTAGTTAGTTTACACACCTAAACAGACTCAAAGCCGTGAGAAGAGGCATCATGAAATAAATTAAGTAAAGGTTCTCTCAAAGACTACCAACCACCACCAACGAGCGTTCAACATTAACCCACACTGTCGAAGTTTATATAATGAAAACGAATAGCGCGAATAAATAAGTAAATGACAGGTAAAGTTAAGGTTGCGTTGCAACCTTTACTTTGATACTGCTTGTGAATGAAAATTTATAATACAAAAGTTTTAAGTGTACTTGTTTAGAATATTTAAATACTCAAGGTCTGTCTACCCACAAAAGACGTTTTAAAAGTCGGTCAAGAATGTATTTGTGATGCATCACCTGTATATTCGCACTTTGCCAAAATCTTTCGAGGAAAAAGTTATTTTCCTTATTGATAGGCGTACCATTTACGCCTTTTAATTATACCTGTTATTGAATTCTTGTGTATCTATGCAGCCAGGCCAGTGCGGCGACTATGAAGCGGTACTCGAGCGACGACAGCCTCGTCATGGTGGCCCCGCGGCCGGGCGACGCGGCCGCGCCTTGAATCCTTCGACGCATTCGCATCGGAACGCGTCAATAACTATTCGGATATGGTTGACCATGGAAAGCACCTCAGAAAACATTATCTCTATGTTTCTCTCTAATAAACGTGCTGTACCTATGTTGTCAGTGGATAACTTTCAACAGGTTGCTAATCTTGAAAGTTATAAATTAAAGTTTTGTCCTGATCTTTGTAACATCCATCTTTTCCTGAAAAAAGATGAATATTTTCGCTAAGATGATAGATTTGGAGTGACCATTGTGGAATGAATATAATATGTAGAACTCTTTCAAACCATTAACAGCATAAAACCTACTAACTATAAACTTTTGTTTGCCGAGTGCTCCATTATCGAATGCTTAATGCCTAATAACATATTTTTCGAAGATATATTGCAGATTTTGCAATGAATTTATCATCATTTAATATTAATAACAATCACTGTGGTTTAACTACATAATTAATCGATTACAACAAAGCTACGATGCTACGACATATCGTAGTCTCGTAGCAAGAAATATAACAAGGCCGAATATTATTTATGTATTATTTTCGATTTTGTGTGAAATTTTCAAAAGACAACCTTTAAAATTTGATAAATTGCTGTTTAGAGATATTAAAGAATTCGGTAAAATGTAATCGAAAGAAAAGTGGATGCCTGCTTCTTCCGCTACAATAAAAGAAGGGTGTTATTTGTATGATGCACTGTCTTAGTTTCAATAATAGTGCAATTAGTTTAGATTGTGATGTAGTAGCGATGGGTGATCTTATAAGTAATCGTTATCGGCTGTATGTTTTATGCGGGCTTAGACGCTACGTTTAACTTAGGTAGATTAACATGACCTTTGTTTCTTATGAAAAATATCAAATACGACATTACATAAATTATTAAATATGTACCTAACTGTTTTATTCATCCTGTAAAGATTAACCGATACCGATTACTCGCAATAATGCTATAATGACTTTAATATTCTCTATTATTTGTAACGATCACCCATCATTGCTTAGCAGAGAAGTGAATTTAATTGTTTCTTATGAATATCAATAATATACAAAGTTGTTTATTAGTTTTTCTGTGTAATTTTGTTGTGTTCGTTTATGAGTAAATTAAATGTGATTCATTTAAATGTTTTTATCTGACTGAAAAACCTCTTTAAGAAAATATTTAATAATCAAGATCGATCTTGTTATTCTAGGTAAATAATATATAAGATAAATAAAATCTTTGGGTGCTTAACTGTGTGTTACCAAGTTGCTCTTTCTGGTAACAGAGAGTTTACTTACTGAAACAGCTGAATTATTTGAGGTCTTGGGAATTGTTTCGTTTTTTTAAATTATTTACTAGGTTAGCTACATCCTTGCTGCATCTTCAAATGGCGACAAAAAAGAATAATAAAATAAAATAAATGTTTGTATTAATGAGATTACAGTATTCATGATCTTAAATTACTTAATAAATAACTATAACTATTTTGTTCTACATAAAAATAATCTCATTAGGCATATTAGGGATTTCAAAATCCCGATTTTTTCTACTTATTCGATGCACAACCATGTAAATGCAACGCTGCCATTAAAAAACTCTTCGATGTAAAGTTAAAACTTAAAGTAGGTAATAAAATAAAAATATTTAGGTAAACACCTACTTAACTGAAATTGTATTATGAAACATTTTTAAACTAATACCTACTGTTTTAAAGAATATCGCCACTATAAAACGTCACTATTTTATCGTCACTAGGTTACCAGTGATTTTTCACAGACATCTACTACTATTTTCCTAACATTTTAATGGACTAGATCTCTCTAGAAACGTTTTTGTGGACATTGAGAAGACTTTGTCATTATAATGACAACTTTTTACCTAGTGCGCAAAAAATAAGGAAAAGAGATTATTGGGTAATCTAAATTAACTATTCTAATCGTAAGATGAACCGAGCTACTGGTTAATGCTAACTACTACAAAGACTATCGACTTTTACCAGGCAAGGCTCGCAATTTCAAACATTGAGGAACTTTATTGTTTACTTTAATACAAAAATACAAATATGGCCACGAAAAGTTTCATAGTTTGATCATACCATTGAAAATTAGGTACTACCTAGATATTCGCTACCTACATGCATAGTTAACGCATGTAGGTAATTATATTAAAGTGATTTTAATGGTCAGGCAAATATATATGAGTAATTGCATGAGTATACCTATTTTTCAATGGTCGACAATACAAAACTGCGGTTCTAAGTTAAAACCAAGACGGTATTGTTTTCCTCGATCATTATTTCAAAGTTAATTCCCAGCAGGTAGTTCAACAGCGGGTCAATTTATATGAGTAACTGACTCCCTATCCGAGTAAGACTTGACGTGGCTGGGTTTTTGTTGTTAATTCGTCATAGGCAGTAGACGAAGGTCCAGTAGATGATGTTGAAGAAAATGAATAGAAGCGGGAAGAGGACTCGGGAGCGTTTGTCAATCCAGGTGGCGATCTCCTGCGGGGTCATGGTTGTCCAGGTGTGGTGCTTGGGCGGCTCGTCCGAGTTGTCGCTGCCGGCGCCCGGCTGCTGCTTGCCGCTCGGCACCAGCTCGTCGAAGCTCTGCGTCGTGATCGTCGGCAGATTCAGCGCCGATGGGAAGCTCTGGGGATAATAAGGGGACATTTTTTTAGAATGGAAAAGACAATAAGAGTCGCATTTAAACTATATTTTTTTAATTGAAATGATCGATTTTCCCAGGGGAACTCGGATTCACTTTGTCAGGTTAAGTATTCAGTCGGAAAGTGCTACGGTTCATAAAGTTTCGACAGAAACAATATCGCTGGATAGATAAAAAAATGCTATCTAAGGGAGTAAACATGTTTACAGGTGACTTTCAAAGGAAAAAATATTACTAACGCACGATTCTTATGAGCATAATTACGCACCGGGCCGTTAAAAAAATTATGCCACAGACATAAAAATTAATAGTTCTGAGTTTGAATACGAACAATGGTAAACCTACAGTGTAACAAGTCAAAATCTACTTACATATTGACATAAGTAACATTGAAGATACCTACTGTCATAGGTAATTAAATGCATCGGGACATTGAACTCAGTTAAACTAAACAGATGTGGGTTATTTTCTCACATGAAATTCTCTAAAGATATAATCATAATATAATGTAGGTATAGATACCTATGTTAGAACATAATAAACAATTGCCTATTTTGTACAAACCAATGAATCTTGGTCTCCGAAAGAATTAACGAGTTTTAATTTTGTTAACACTTAAATCACACTCCATGAGAGAAAAAAAATCATAATTCCACTCACGTGTACTGTAAGGTAGTTGTTGTATCCCGGGCCGGCGGGGTCGGAGCTGTGGTCCTGGTTGAGCGAGGAGCAGGAGCGCGACTTGGTGAGCTGTGGTGAAGACTCCTGAAGTTCCTTCTGAAGCTCCTTGCGCGCCAGCCGCGGTGTCAGCGTGCTCTTTAGAATGTACTTGCTGTTCACCTTCTTCAGGTTAACCACTTTCCTGGAATTTCAATTATGAGGTTTATTAATGTCATTTTACAGTAAGACGAAATCAAATCAAGCCTAGTCATCAGAAATCAGAAAACAGAAATATTTATTTGCTTTTACATGGTTTTACAAGATATTATTATTACAATTGGCATGTCCACATGTTGACTTAATTAGACGCGCAAATATTGAGAAAAAAAATAAAATAATGTAAGTACAAAAGAACAATAATAAATTACAGCGTTTGAATGTCAGGATTATTATTACAATCTATACCTAATATATGTATCCTAACGAAATGTGGCATGAATAGAATAAACATAAAGACGACAGAAAGACTTAAGACCGTATTCTAGATTATATTTTATTAAAGGTATGATCAGCCAGAGAGCCCTTCAGCTTGAATTGAGTTTCGAGAATAACGACAGAATGTGCAAAGATCGTTGTACTTGACGAATATAATACTCCAATTAGGCCTAGCATGTGTAGGTAAGACATGTGACGGCGCGGCGCGTGCGCAGCAGTGATTGATCTATTGAGGCTACTTTTGACACACGGAGATAGTCTTAGCTGAGGACCACACCGCACTACTACTTGGTAAACAGTGTCATGTGCCTATACTCTCGTGTTTACTGAAGTATACAAACATTTGTTAATATCGAGCTGATGCATAACGTAAGCAAAGCCGTCTATCATTTTTAATTAAAATTTATGACATTCGTTCATCAAATATCCTGTTTCTACGTAACTTCTAACATTGGTATCTTGAATGTGTAAAAAACATTCTACATCAATACAGATTTTAAATTATTGGGTTTTCTGTTCCAAATAATTTTCAACTGAGAACTGTTTGTTTTTACTTACTTTCTTCGCCAGATGGTATTAACAAAAGCGAATTCCACGAGTGCAGAGAAAATGAATCCAATACATCCCAGGAACCATATCTCACTCGCCTTGATGTATGAAACCTTTGGTAGAGTCTTCGCTTGGGAAGACGCCAAAGTGATGAACGACAACATGGTGCTTGTTCCTGAAATAGATCACAGATTTCAGGTAACTTTGCATTTCAACTATTTTACTCGTCTCGTAGTACTCGTAGTTTAGACTCTGTCACAACCAGGTAGTTCTGGATTTACTAAATTGCCAATGATTTATACGCACGAGTAGGTAGATAGATGCCTTTCGAAATACAGTGTAAGTTAGAAAACCGTAATCCCGGGTTTAAGGAAATTCCTCCACAAACAAAGTGACCTATCTGGGACTCTCCTTGTAAAATAAATATCTTCTTTAATTTCTGTTGGGTTTATAGAATTTATTTAATAACTTACCTAAAGTAATCCTAGGTGCTGAAGCATCTGCTTGCAGCCAGAACGTGACCCACGACATGGCAACTATCATCATAGACGGAATGAAATAATCCATGAGGTAGTAGCCTACTTCTCGGCCTAGTTTGAAGGTGAACTTGAGAGCGCTGTAATTTCCCGCTGTAACATACGAATTATGTAAATTTATGTTCTACAAGAGGCTTGGAATAATGTCACCATTTTATTAAAGGCTTTAAGTTATAGTGACATCAGGAAAGCCCCAATAAAAAAATACAAAACGGCACAAACATAGAAAATGACATTACATCTACCTCCCCCGAGTCGCATATTTACAATATCTCCTCGGACAACGGACTCGTTTGTCCAAAAATCCATTAGGGAATATTCAGTAAGATGCAACTCCGAAGACAATCGGACTGGGTTGTCTCGCTCCCACATCAGCCGTAATATCGATGCATTATATTTCCCTGTAAAAAAATAATATTTACGTTTACATTAAATTGCTTGTTTATTATCTAGCCGCCATTAGTACCTACTTAAACCCTGATTAGTTATCGGCTAGGTATTAATAGTGATTTAAAAAAAATGTCTTAAGTAGGTACGTACCTACCTAAGACAATACTTAGCAAAGTTTAGTAATGTCTGACCTTCACGTACATTACTAGACCATTATGGCTATTACAGTTGACGGTACTATCAATAGGGTTGTTAATGTTGTTATTCGACTGTCCCT